CGCACGCGGGAATACGGTTATTCTCGTATTTGTTGACAGATTCAGCAAAATGGCACACCTAGTGGCTGTACCAGAGTCAATCACGGCAAGTGGCTGTGCTTGTGTCTTTATCGACACCATCTTCCGACTTCATGGGTTGCCCCGTGAACTCGTATCAGACAGAGATCCACGATTCACTGCTGATTTCTGGCGTTCCGTGTTCAAATCACTCGGAACGCGCTTGAAGATGTCGACATCTGATCATCCAGAGTCAGATGGTCAGACGGAACGTGCCAACCGTGTCCTTGAAGAGATACTTCGAGGATACGTACACTCCTTTAAGAGTTGGAGTGAGTTTTTGCCAATGGTAGAGTTTGCCATTAACAACTCGGTGCATGCGTCCACGACACATACACCGTTTTACGTGAATGGCTTGCGCCATCCGCGTGTTCCCACCTTACTAGAGTGTAACTCTGGTTTAAGGGGGGGAGGGACTCGCGCGAGCAAAAACCGATTTGGTTCACGCTCATCACGCTCTGACAAAGAGGTCATTGCGTTTGATGCCGATATCGATAACATCGATATCGAAGAAGATGATGCCAGTGAGAGTGCGGAAGCCCTCACTGAAGAAGATGATGCCAGTGAGAGTGCGGAAGCCCTCACTGAAGAAAAGGTTGATGTAGCTGCAGTGCGCTCATAGCGCACTGAAGCTAACGAGTCATCAGATGAGTTCATACTGGCTCGTGAAACGGTAGTCCGTTTTGTGCAAGACTCCATCGCCGAAGCGGTGGATAAGCAAAAGCAAAACGCTGACAAGAATGGAAGGGCAAACACTCTTTTATTCAATAAAGGTGACTTAGTCCTACTGTCTACGGTTAATCTACCAAAGCATGTAGTGACTAACTTGGGTAGCAGTAAACTACTACCCAAGTACATCGGCCCATTTCGTGTATTGCACCGCCTAGGCAATGCATACACGATCGAGTTACCACGTAAGATGCGAACGCATCCCACGTTTTATGTTGGTCGGCTTAAGCCGTACCATCAGTACGCTGCTTCTTCCGATGAAGAACGCCCTTGCGCTCAAGCATCTCGCATAGAGCCTTGTGCTCCCGATGGTGGGCATCAACAAGGGTCTGAAGAGCAGCTATCTCATCCCGAGACCGATCAACAATCCCACGAGCTACCCTTAGCTCGTCACGAAGAGATGTCAGAGATCTCTCGTTCTCAAGCTGAGCAAAGGCAAACTCAGCTCGATGCTTCGAGACAGTGTCCCCTATTTGGAGACGCCTGTCCCGCTCATGTTCGAGATCGTTGCGTAACCCTTGCGTTACGCGATCAAAGAAGCTCTCGGGAACACACGGATCCCCATGATCGTGTGGAGAGCGTCTTCCCTCCTCCTCCACCTCCATTAGAGGACTCTCGCGGTGGCCAGCGCTATCTAGTTGAGCAGCTGTTGAGCCACCGCGACGTGAACGGACGTCGGACGAGTTATCTCGTCCGGTGGCGCGGCTATCCCCCGTCCTGGGATACTTGGGAGCCCCGCTCCCAACTGATGATCGACGTACTGGGTCTGGTTGAGCAGTACGACGCGGCACATCCTGTGCCGCAGAAGGACCGCCGGAGAAAGTCTTCCCGGAACGGTCGTAAAGGGATTTCAGGTTGTCAATCCCTTCGTGCATCTCAGTAGAGATACGTACGCGCCACCACGGGCGGGTAAGGAGGTAAGCCTCCTTAGGTGCTCTTGCAGAGTTGTTCACACAACATGGGCACGAGTCTCCCCATGAGAGGCAGGGTAATCCTTTCTCCCTTGACAGACGATGCAGCTTGTAGCGTGCACCTGTCGGGGTTCGCTTTTCAAACTTATCACGAGCTTTGATAAGTTTGTCGTTCCAAGCGTCACGACCTACATCCTCAAGGTTATGGATGTAGGCGTTCCACGCCTGAAGCAGTGAAGGACCATCACGCTTGTGATTCCCACTGTACCATCGATGTCTAAAGAAAGCATCGATGAAGAATTCATTCTCAGCGCGATAGTTTTTCGCGCTGGGGTTAAGGTGATGGATCCTTGACGAATCGAACAATCGTGTTCGATAACGATCACTCGTCGTCGCCGACAAGTGATCCATGACGGATTTGGGAGGCATCCATGCCTTCTTCTCAGGAGCGAGACACAAGACATTGCGGTCCCGCTCTTCCTGCGATGTGCCGACAGAAGTACTGGCACCTCGCTGTGAAGTGGTGTCCATAGAAGAACCGACACCACTGTTAGCGCCCGAGTCTCGCGACCTCGAGCGCCTACGCTTCGGCAATGGTTCATCTGATGAATCAGATGAACCAAAGATGCTGCGACGCAATGCATCATCCATGCCACGCTTGGCAGGCGGCTTAGATTCAATCGCCGTCGATACGGATCCGTCTTCCGTATCAGGAGAGTATGAGACACCGAGCTCATACTCTGTGAAGACATGAGTGTCTTCATGACCAGCGCCTACATCACCAAGTGACACAGGCTGAGTCGCTTCAGCAACCGATGACACATCAGTTGCTGTGGTTTCTGCTTCGGCGTCCGCACAGAGACGTGCGGACGCGCTCTCGGCGGCCTTGCTCGCGCATCGCATGGGCTTGTTAACCATGCGATGAAATGTTAGAAATGGACTCGGACCAACAAGTGCAAACCCTGTCCCAAATGATTTGGGACGAGTATCCATTTAGTCAATCAGTCACTAAAGTGACCGATGGTTAAGGGGGGGTGATGTAACGGGGTGAATCGTTACATAACAATTTATAAGAAATTGTTAATAGAATATAACTATAAGAGTTACATTCTCAGAATACTGTCATAAAGACAAATATTCTGTAGCACTTACGAGTAGTTCCTAATTGGTTGATATAGGCCATTATATCAACCAACGAAGACGCACCACGACAGACGCACGCAATGAGTGGTGAGCAGATATTTCATTTACACATTTGTATTTAGACATAGTTAGATGAAGATAAATAGTGATTTATTAACAGACATTAACTATTATAAATACAGTTCTACTTTTTACTTTAACCAAGTACTCGCTTCTTCTTACCGTCTTCCTCTCCACGTACGAGTGTACGTGAAGTTACGAGGCACCGCCTTATTCTGTCATCAGAATAAGTAGCTTGTACTGTCACCAGTACAAGCTTCAGGGTGCCCCGTTACACGCCCTTTGTCTGGGTGCCACGAACCTCACGTACACTAGTACGTGTAGAGGAAGCTAATCTACTTGAACGACTCGTTCAATTAAAGGGTAAAAAGAGAACTGTATTCAGTACAGTTAAGGTATCAATATAACTTTAATCTTTATCTAACTATATTGAACTATGTCGTCGTATGACGACAATTTGCTCACCACTCATTGCGCGCGTCCGGCAGCGATTGGTGGCAATCTATGGTTGATATGTCTTTTATCAACCAATCTTCGAGCAGCGCATGAATATTATCCTAAAAGGGGATCCTCTCTATCAATTTTATCCATCTCGGGTAATATTGGTAGGGAATTGTCATACTAGACAATCTCTTTATTGACACCGTACGGTGTCAATAACGGGCATCCCCGTTACAACTTCTGTGTTGAGCATGTTCTAGTTCTAGACCAACAATTCAAGCGAAGACAGTGGCGTGAACGTTATTAAGAAGAAGGGATGCTATCCAAATCAACGCAATTTACGACAGACTTGACGACTCGGGAGCAGTAGCGACTGTGGATGCAAACTGTTGTCCCTGAGATACTGTTTACTATAATGGTCAGTGTTATTCGTGCTCATCACTGTGTCGGAACATTTGCTGACATTTCCTCTGACAGCTTAAGTAATGAGGTTCATGGAACCGTCAATAGGGCCTGTTCTCGCTCTGACAAAGAGGTGAAGCAGTTGCTCTTATCTCTTGTTTCCAGCACCTGCATGTCGAAAAGTACTGCAATGCTAAGTCGTGCGCCGCCATCGCGTCGTTCATTCATAAGGTGCTCTATGTCGCAAAAATGTGGGAGACTGTGCTGCCGTGCTAGGAAGGAGGGACAAGGAGACTCCAGAACTACGGGCACACGAAGTATCAGCTGATCGCTCGTGCGGTAATCTACACAAGCCCAATCGGTTGACCGAGCGCTCGAACGATGTCAACGCTAAACCCTATCGTTGTGGTGTATCATGCATGACGCATGATGATTGTACTCAGTCAGGCGCAGTGATTTTTGTGTCTGGGCGATACACGGGATCACACAACACGCCTGTTCGCCTGTCGCGACATCATTTTGAAACCTCTCCATCCCATTTTACGAAAAATCTATCAAGATGGGCTCTCTGATCACTTTCAATCAGGACCGTTGATCAGGTCTGAATAGAAAACTTGACGTATTGTCGACAGGCCAGTTAGCTCATCGAAGCCTGTTGTAGTTACAGCTGTCGGCCGCACACGCTCTTGGACAAATACAGCAGCTGACAAAAGAGTCTGCAGAATCTGGACTCCTCAGAATTGTCTACGCCTGGACCTAATCCAGCTATTCTGCTGCGACAGGAACTCACGAGGTGCAGACTGTCACCGATGTGTAGGCACTTTAAACCATATATAAACACCAGTCAGTACGCAGTCGTCTCTAGGATGCGTTGTCGAATTCGGTGCAAGTGAACATCCGTGGGTTTGTTATGATGAACGTACGGCTTGACATGTTCAATTGAATGAATACGATACCAGAGCGACGGATTCGGATAAGGGACGGCAGTATGTAGTCAGTTGCGACGACTCGACGTGAAAGAGAGGACCTGCAGCTGGTAGTTCTCGACGCCTGCCTGTTAATCATGCGGTAAAGCCCATCAGAGCTGCTCGAGCACGCCGCTTGTTTTCTCTTGAGCTTACAGCTCAGTCCTCGGACTTTACAGCTGACTATCGCTTTTCGCCACGTGTGTCATGAAAAGGCGGTAGCTGGATCGTCTCTCCGACCAAGTAGTCGGTTGTGCCCGCAGACAGACGCAGCCTTATTCCGGTAAAACGGATGGCAGGACGTCTGCCGTCTGCTTTTCGGAAGAGCGTCGCCCCGTCTTCGCAGCTATCGGATCAGCCCGTCCGTGTGCAATTCCCGACCTTCCTCTTCTCATTCTGCCCGCATTTGGCTGCTGTGAACGCGTTTGGAAGGAAAAAGCTGCGTGCGAAGCCGCTTAGACATTAGCACTTGGATCAACAGATCAGCATGCGTACGGTCGTGCTCTTTGCTGCCGCCTCGTTCGCCTCCTTTGCCGCTGGCGTCGAGGACGTCGAGGTGCACGTCATGTCGTTTAACATTCGCACGTCACAAGCTTCGGCCGACGCCGGGTCTGCCTGCGGCAACTGGAATGGCGTTCGCAAGGACAACGTCTTGCACAATATCAAGACCATTGGAGCCGACTTTGTCGGCACACAAGAGACTTCCGACGCGCAGAAAGTCTACTTGGACACAGAGCTGGCTGGAACTTACTCGGTCATTGGGGACACCTCGGGCTCTCTCAATGGTAACGCTGCTGAGTGGAACGCCATGTACTACCGTTCAGACACGTGGACACTGCTCACGCACGGTATGTTCTGGCTTGGACCGGATCCGAGCACAATGTCTGCGGGGTGGGGGATGGCGTACTACCGCACGTGTGTGTGGGGTCGCTTCCAGCATACTGCCACCGGGGCGTCGGTGTGCGTGTTAAATACGCACTACGAGACTCCTGGCAACGACGAAGCACAGAAAAGTGGCTCGAACATCATTCTTGAACGCATTAAGGCCAATTGCGACGCCAGTGACAGTCTAGTTGTCGTCACGGGCGACTTTAATGCACTCAAGAGCTATCCGGCTATGCAGATTCTGTTTGAAAATAACCTGGAAGACCCGTCGGATGAGGGGACATTTTGCGGTGACATGCTGTCCGCAACGTGCTCCGTCAAGTATGACTTCACCTTGTTCCGTGCCCAGAGCGAAAACGCTTGCCACCTGAAGTCGGAGATTTCGCGCATTGATTACGATGGATGCTACTCGTCTGACCACGCTGGACTCGTCGGCTCGTTTTGTCTCCAGGGCTCTTGCTGCTCGAACAACACGTCATCAAGCTCAGGCTCGAACGACTTGTCTTACCTGGACGACAGTGTCGCAGGTGAGAGCGATGTGGTTGGTACAGTGCAAGCAAGCAACACGGATGAAAGCGGGACAGTGACAGGGCAAGCCCGCGATCTCGGCCACGCCGGGAAGGCACCACAGTCTGCTACTCCTCCTTCTTTGTCTGGCGATGCCCAAACCATTTCCACATCTTCAGAGTCTGGGCATCACACCTCGATCAAAGTTGGCGGTATTTTAGGCTGTGTTGGTGTGTGCGGTCTCATCGCTTTCGTGGTCATTCGGCGAAAGAACAAACTTGAGAAGCAAACTCATTTGGAGAAGCTGGACGACTCCAGCGCTACTGGATACGTTGGAGGCGCTAGGGCGATGCAGTCCATGTCCGGCATGCTGGCTTTGTCTCCGGCGAAAGAGGGCACAGAGCGAGTGTCCAACTCGACTATTCCGGAGCTTGTGGCAGTTCCTTTCAGTAACCGCATCTCGTCATCATCCTCCGTCTTGGTGTCGAATTCCGAGGATGCTCGACACGTTTACCGGATTACCGAGCTCGACCCGTCCAATGGTGATAGTAACGATATCAATGGACAACCGATTACTCAAGCAATGGGTCCGGCCGACCCAGAGCACCCGTCTGCACTCAGCAACTCTGGCGCGGAGATCGAGGACAACGCGGGCATGTCTATCATAAGTTACGGCAACTCGTCCGTGTCAAGTATCAGCTCCGCTGAATCGTACAGCAACTCGTCTATTGCTATGAGCAAAGTCGACTTCAGCGAGATCTTTGCGTCGGATTCGTGTGTCTCGGACGACAGCGCGTTGGCCAAGTCGCACACTGACTTCGCCCGACTATAATCTGGCTGTGGAGACAGTTATCATCGGTCGTCGTGCGTCCCTTTTCGATACCGACACCTCCGCGCAATGTTTCACCGTCAAGAGCGATTGCTGATGTGGAACTGTCGTGAGACGTGAGTCACGTTGTTTAGATGCTACCTACGTAGTGGCACTGTCGTCGCGTCACAAGTATTAGGTGTTCACTTTGTCCGCCATAGTTGAATAAATGAAAATACCGTGGTAGACTGAATTTCTAGGTTTTCGCCGTCAGAAACAGTAAAAAAAATCGAAAAGGAGCAATGTACTACACTCCAGGTCATAATGATATGGCCACGCACATTGGTGCATCAGAACTCCATAACTTATACGAGTTTGACGCTGTCGTTTAAGCATGATATGCACAAAGCTTTGATGGACCCCTCTGCAGTGTTAAAATCCGATAATGTGAATCGATCTCATAGCTCCCATTAATAAAAAACGCTTTGTGTGCCCTGCAAAAAAGTATACGGCCCCACGGAGCAATCAAATTACAAGTATAAAAGCATGTTTGTCGAATGCTCAGAAGGGTCGTCATGCTTTCTTTTAAACTTAAAAAATTGTGAGAAGCGCGAAGTAAGTTAAAGTGAACGGAGTATGCTGGCATTCTTGACGCAATTGAATGAGGAAAAGTGTGCGATGGAAACGAGTGTAGCTGATCTATGACAGCTCATAATGTAGGTGCTCGTGCTTGCACCATCAAGCGCGCGAAAATACGCTCCCGTGACGATCCCCAGTAAACGTTAGAATCTCGCATCTGATGTTTGACATTTGATAGGTGTTAAACGTAAGCATAGATCATTAGAAGGCGAAGTTTAACTCTATAAGACTGTATAACAGCCAGGTGCAACTTCGCTTGCCATTTTACTTTTCTTGGACCTGTCGTAAACTTTTGTCACTAAGAATTTTGTTGAATCTTGTAGGGCAATCGTTTACGAATTTCAGTTGTGGGCGTTAAGAATAATAATATCATATTCATACGTCTTTGGCTGTAGAAGTTGCTGCATATAACTAGTTTATTTACAAAGTGGTTTGACTAGAACTCCATCGACTATCAAGCGTCAAATAAGGCACAGTATATGGTAATGGTGAGCATAGACGTTATGCGCTATCATAGATCAGCTACACTCGTTTCCATCGCACACTTTTCCTCATTCAATTGCGTCAAGAATGCCAGCATACTCCGTTCACTTTAACTTACTTCGCGCTTCTCACAATTTTTTAAGTTTAAAAGAAAGCATGACGACCCTTCTGAGCATTCGACAAACATGCTTTTATACTTGTAATTTGATTGCTCCGTGGGGCCGTATACTTTTTTGCAGGGCACACAAAGCGTTTTTTATTAATGGGAACTATGAGATCGATTCACATTATCGGATTTTAACACTGCAGAGGGGTCCATCAAAGCTTTGTGCATATCATGCTTAAACGACAGCGTCAAACTCGTATAAGTTATGGAGTTCTGATGCACCAATGTGCGTGGCCGTATCATTATGACCTGGAGTGTACTACCAACAAAAGACCACGTGACCCACCGAAGGAACGTTCCATTCAAATGATTATCGTTGTTGGCAAGAGCTGGAAAAGGTCAAGCTGCTCTTTCCGTTAATCGCATCCGCTTCTCCTCCAGCTGCTTATCCACGACATCAAGGTCCCGCTCCAGTCGTATCTTCTGCTGCAGAAGCCACTGTAAGTGCGTCTCCATCTCGTGCGTCTTGTTCGAGCGCGTGTCGCGGATGGCTTTGCGCACGCGTTCGACTCTCTTGTCCGACCTTTGGATGCGCTTGAACACGCTCTCAACTTGCTTGGACGCTTGCTCGAGCTCCGTGTCAGCCTCAATGCTGGCGCGGCCGCTGAAACAGTTTAAGCTCATGGCGTTTTGTTATGTTTACGATAAACGGTAATAGTAGCACATGATCGACATAGAGATGCTCGATAGAAACAACTAACGCGCGGTTAGGTTTTTCTGATGTTACACCGCGCATTTTTTCGCACGCCGTCAATTCAAATATTTGTCTACCCTAACCTTTTCCATCAATGTAACCTCTTGAGGAATGGTCGTTCATGTGTGCATGTGAAATAGGCAAAATGCCGGTCCGATTCGCATCAAGGCAAGTCCGCATGTCCGTCCAAGTGACCGTCTTGCTCGATCTTGGACATCGAGGCATGAATCCTGCCGGAAAGTAGTTCATCGGTTCAGCGCTCTAACCGACGACAAATTTGTTCGCAATGCTTGTCGCTGTGACAAGCACGCGTTGTGTCTTGTCATTAGCAAGCAGTGCAAGCATTTCTCTCGAATTTATACTGACCTTCATCCAATATACACGTTCGATGGAGAACCCCAGATGCTGAAAAAAGCATCGTGGACAAGTGATGAGCACCCGGTAAAGATTCTACATCTCAAGCTGGGACTGCCTTCCAATCTACGTGAGTCTCGTAAACATACTTTTTGCAGGTCCCATTTGTTGTGCTGATCAGTGCAGTATCATCACTCAAGGCAGATCAGGGCAAGAGTTCAATTTATGAAGATGTGATTTCTGTGTTGCGCCTGCAAAACGACTCGTTCGAACTGCAGTTCGCGCACATGGGAAACTGCTGCTGAAATCGGAATCAACGCTTTCTGCTCATTAGCCGGACATTGCATGATTGCTTTCATGTCATTTGCAATACGATTCTAGGGCTTAAGAACTTTAGCCGTTCAGATAAAGTACTATGGGCGTCCATGTGAATACGAAGGCACACTTCGTGAAAGCCCGGCACCCAAAAACGTATGATGCACCTATGTGAATGGATCTTTTCATGCTCGTAGCAGCAACGGACGTTGCAAGCGCTACCTCTCTCTACTCAAGATTGCACACGTGGCATCAAGTTGACGAACGCAACGCGCAAGACTTCGCTGTCAAAGCGCATGCAGTATTTGGAAATGATGCGAGCTCGAGTAGGGTCTGGCTTTTTCGAACTCGCAACGCTGGTAGAGAGATGGGACCTTGTACAGCAGAAGCCTTGTTTGCTATCCTCGAAAACTCGCGCGAATTAAACTTCGGATTCGGCATTCGACATACAAGAAGCTTCAGAACCTCGGCAGTTTGCGTTGTCAAATGTTCTTCAAGATCTTTTTCGCACTGCATACCCGTCCATCTGCAAGCTTCCACATAACAACGTGCGGTACTTACGCGATGACCAAGAACGAGAGTACATATTGCCAACCCGATCAAATCGATAGAGCGGCGTACCCTGCCCGTCACGAGCATCTGACGGTCCCAAAGATCAGGTAATACGCGTTGTAGACCCCAGTACGCGACGCAGGTATATTCCACACGATGCAGACATGGCCGATTAGTCTTTTTCCTTAAATATTGCCGACCCCCGCACCATCGGAACGTTTGGTAAACCATACACTTTGTCTCTGACTGAACAGCTCGATTCGTGTACTTGCATCACCAAACCTCGCCTATAGCCACATTTTTTCAGCGCGCATCAACCCCTTCGTTCCCAGTCAACTGTGATCGATGACAACGTTATACCACGTACGCACATGCCAATCACGCTATTGCTCCAATAATGCGCTCCAGCAAAAGTCGATATCCGTTTTGTAAAATAAACTGTTGAAACGGCCCCGCTTCGACAGCCCTAAATAGCTTCAGCTGCACGGAAACAATGACATCAGTCTGCGGGTACTCGACGTAGCCTTCACTGTTTAGCGTCGCACTAAGTCGACGCGTACCCTGCTCTGTTTGACACAATTGCCACAGCTCGTTCAGCTCGTCTGTGTGTACAATGTTTAGCAGCTGAATCGCACGAATGATTGCCTTCAGGTGATTCCACTCGTCTTGGGCCGTCCGTCGATTTGTCATGCCTGCACTACTTACGAGACCGTTCTCTCGGGCGATGCAGCTGCGTCGGAACAACTCACACTCAATCCATGTGTCCAGCAAACTCTGGTACTGCGTCGATACGACGAAATCACGAAAAAGCTTGAGAGAGTCCTCACGAGATAGCACACGCTCTAGTAGGGAGACCTCTATGGTTGGCGGCGCAAAATCCCGCTCGCTTCTCGTTACAGCCTGTTTTGGCAATTCGATCGTTAGACAAAAACAACGGCTTGCTATTCAGACTTGCCCATGTACTCACGTCTTCCGTAATCCAGATCTCGGCTTCGTACAAGCGGTGGTTTTCTGAGCACAGACCAATCTGAACATGCAGCGCGTGAATCCAGGCCACCATTTCGTCCTTGCTACTTGCACAAAGCTAACAGATCACCCAGTCAGTTATACAAAATATCAATAATGGCTACGACATATCGCCAATGAACTTCAAGGTACTGAGGCAACCTAGCCTTACCTCGTAATCCCGGCGAGGTGTCTTGAGCTGGAATGAAAACGCTACGCGCTAAACAATCAACAAATCGGTTATGAACCTTGGTAAACCCAATAAACGACATATTTGCGTATCATGACGATCACGTACTACTTCTGGCTTAGCTTTGGCGAGGACTGCACCAAGCAAACTAATCGCCGTCACATCTTGCTGGTTCACGTTTGACTTACAGTATAGCAACTGGTCTCCCTTGATGATAAACCACCGCTTTCTCCACAAATTCGTATCGGTCGAGCTTGCTTTCTGAAGGTAACCAGAATATACACCCTGCATTGCAAAGTAGATTCGCAGACATTACATCAAAATAGGCGCAACACTATCCAACGTCAAAACAAACTCACCTTTCCTAATAACACCGGGAAGTTAATCGACTGTGTGTCGGACTGCTGACGTTTTGGTGATGCGACACTTTCACCAATGTCGAGCTGAGAACCTTGAACATCCTATGTATCACGCATCATCAACAAACGTGCAACAACAACAACGTGAGTACAACCTCCCCACACAAACTTGCACACATCGACGCCCAGCTTTTCCTACCTTGAGCACAAACTTGACCGGTGGTCTTGCAACATTTTTCGCTTTCGATCGCGTCGAGCTGCCACCACCTGCCGTCTCCGTCCCCTCAACAACTGGCTGCACCGACCGTGCCCGATTCAATCGCTCCACCAGCGGTAGGATCAGCTCCTCGTCTTTCAACGTCCTAGCTGACATCGACCCGGCACCATCTGTCGGGAACACTACGACAATCGCGTACTTGTCAAAATCCTGCATCCGAATCTTGATCTTAGCTGCCATGGACTTGCGCACTTCGAGCACCGTCGTACTACCCAACAGCTTGAACACGGTCGACGACGTGAACGTTTTGTTTTCAAAGTATATGCGTGCGAACCCCGTGCGGTCGTCCCCGCCAGCATTAGCAGCTTTCACTGCTCGGATCATTGCAGCTGCACTCAAAGTGTTACTACCAGCGCTCCGCTTGCGCTCTAGAGCGATCTGCTTAATGTTCTGGGAGCTATTGTGGCGTCTCATGGGCACGGACGCCGCCGACACGTTGTCGTGACTGCGCACGCGCGACGCGACCGCCAGCACGTTCGCCGTCGGACCTCGACAGCTACTGGATCGCTGGCTCTCGTTCTTGTCGCTTGGCAACTGCGGCACAAGTGGCGATTGAACGTGGTGAGTAACGTCACAGTCCAATGACGTGCTGCTGCTGCTGCTCGAGAGCGTCGTGGTAGTTGTCGTTGCAGTAGCAGTAGCCGTCGTTATTGTTGCTGTTGCTGTTGTTAAGTGGTTCATGTTGTTGCCTCCTCCGAGGCCGACGGCGCGAGTATCACAGGGCCGAGTCGCCGCCTTTTCCTCGATTTCGACGATGGACGACTCCATTTCGTACTGTGGGACTCGTCAGTGACTGAGGACGTGAGTGAGGACGAAAAGGGGAAGATGGAGGCCTCTTAGTGGCTAGCTGGCTGGCTCCCCTGGTGTCACGGGGGACGTGGAGACGACAGGAGATTGGTCGAAATGTTTGACATCGTCCACTGGGCGGAATCAGGACGACGGACCGTGTTTATGCAACTGGACAGGAGACGACGTCCTAGAATAGTCTCGTTCGAGGTCGTCGCAGATACTGGTCACGAAAGGAATTGTGGCTGGTTGCTGGTTTACGGAGGTACATGGATGAGCTTTGGTTTGCAATAGGGAAGGCAACTGAGTTTTATGCGTCCACAATTTGTCGTCTGTTTAGATTATGCCGAAAGAGAGAAACTGGTTGATTGTTCGACTCTACTGAGTGCTCGGGACTGCGTCATGGTTATCGAATTGTCTCTGCGTCGTCACTGACCCTGTCATCATCCAGCATCTGCGTCAAAAGCAACGTTTTGCTAATGGCTGACTCGCGTGCACGTGTGATCCGCCGTCGTCTTCTTCATGCATCCTAAAGAAGAAAAATGTCGTCCTTCGGTTGCTTGTAAATCGTCGTTTGCTTGCCAGGTACGTCCAACACCTCGTCAATCTGTTCCGTGCACTCTCGGTGCGCTTTACTCGATGTCCACGCCTTGTAGTCCTGGAGTGATTTCCACTGCAGCGAGCCGCATGAATCAGTTACCACAATACACCAGCTAGATTAATCAAAATAGCACATTTTACACTGCAACTCAGATCTAGAGAGCGCGACCGCACCTCGGACAGCACCACGTATTTATGGTGGTCGTTCACGTCGCTCAGCGTCTCCAATGAGATCAGTCCGGGCTGCACCCGCACCACCTTTTGGACCTATTGCATTACAAACAATAGGACAAAGGACGCGGTTACACTATGTTCATTTGAAGAACGCAATGGCGTCCTTTGCCACCTTTTCCATAAGGCGCACGACGGTAGGCTCAAAGCCCCGGCTCATGATGCGCTCGCTCAGCACACGCACTGGTCTCGTCTGCATGTGGAAGGAATGGGGAGTTCGTGCTCTCTCGTCACTCGTTTTTCTTGCTGTGGGTGGGTGGGGTGGGCTAACGGACGACGGGCGTCGCCCAAGACTGTTGTTCAAAACGTAACCGAAAGGCACGTTTTTTGTCGCATTGCGTTGTCTCATTTGTGTAGTCACGTCTTCAGTTCGCACTGGTGGTTGGAACGTACAAATCGATACAATGTAGCAGTTAAACAAGTGGTTGGTCCCGCAATATGTTGCGATGAAAGCGTGAATATATTTAATTTACATACGCGACGACGTGTACACACTTCAAAGTCGAGGGAACGACTCGCAAGCACAATGGAAACAAGTTCGACATATTGACGATAGAGAGGGTTTGGACAAGGCAAATTTCACATCGAAAGCGATGTTACAAGATGAGTCCATAGCGGAACAAGCTTGACAGTTTACTAGCATAGCTTCTCGACGTGCCTGAACGCGAGACTTCTGCAGCATAATGCAACCATGGACAAAGTCAACGACTGAAGTACGGATGTGTCCTGATCGGCTGTCTTATACGAGCGATGGAATACTGGTTGCGTTATTTCGAAGACGATTTCTTCTACAAGACAAATAAATTGATGTGAATGGTTGCAGCAGCAACTTCGACGAAATCTAGAGCTGCGGGAGAAAGCGATCGATCCAGCGGACATGCTACACAAAAAGATGAATTTGCGACAACGCACACCACACACATGATGGGCGCGGTCTTTGCGAATGCGAGCTCGGTGTAGCGTGATACGAGCAAGGGTCTTTGTCGAATCACATGACGAATGTCGAATCCCGCCAAACAGATGGATGTTATTCCTAAAGTAGTTGCAATGGGAGTTGACTTGAGGTAGCACATAGTTGTGGATGTCGATTTGAAGAGTCTCATGTTGCATGCTTTTGGTTAACAATGGCTACCGACGATATTGACAAAGGCAAGGGTTGATCGCAAAAACTTAATCAATGATCAATGTCATCATTCATACAAAGAAAAGTAGGTGTCGCCATGGCATTGGCACCGATGTAGAAGCACGAACGTAGTGCTAGCCGCAAAAATTGAGCGAATGACGGTCAAACTTAGCTAGCTACATTCCAACAAGCGCACGAAATGCCTTGCAACATTGCGGCTCTTTCACCAGTATATAGTCGATTGGCTCAAACCGTCGCTACTTTTTTCCGACGGCACGCTCGGTGCGGTAATTCCAGCTGAAATATTGTCGACTTCACTTCAATCTTTGTCGCCCACTTCCGCTGCAGGAAATGCCAATCGAACCTGCAACGTTATCACGATTATTTCGATGTGCTGGATAGACTCGTATTAACCGTTTGCTGTCTCGTCAAGGCCAATGAAGATTTACACTCACATTTTTTGCCCATGACTCTGCCTCTCAGATTTAACGTAGCCATCAGTATCCACTCAAGCACGCAACGAAGATTGAATGCATAACTTGTACCTACTTCACATTGCGTGCTATTCCCGCCGTCTGCGTGTAAATAGAGTATATTTCTCATCCTGAGTCAGAATCCAGTGCTTTCAAAGCAGAGAGGAGTATTTGGGCAGCGTCAAACACTTTTGCGCGCGATCATCGTAATGGGGCGGCGACGCCACTCCACTTTTACCTTTTCATGATAACTTTATTAGCTCAGAAAATTGGCAGATGTCTTGCTTAGCGCACTCAAAACCCCGATTTCGCCCCAGTGTGCTATCTCCCGTATATCACACTGCCCCGTAGAACTTGCAATCAAAACAGCCGGTTAATAGTCATCAATCAGCAATTTGTTCGCAATCGGTAGCACCCTACCATAGCTGAATGTGCATTCGACCAAGGCAAAGACTTCATCTCGCCATGGTTTTTTCTCAGAGGTTGTATGTTATCTTGATATCAACGCCAACTGCACATCCCGTAATGTGCACAAGGTTGGTGTGCACGACGAATATATGAATTTAAGTAGTCATTTGCACCAATGCCAATTAGAAAGGAACCACAAGTCCGGCAAGTATGTCGCCACCCGATATAGACGCCACTGTCCATCCGTGACATGAGGCTCCTTGATCTGGATATATCACAACACGTCGCGCAGTCGCTTCTGGTAAACAGCGAGCACTCTATCCGCAAGGCCATGCTTTCAGAGGAGCGCTACAACATTGAAGTCGCCCAGACAGAGCGGTCATGCCACTCTGGGTGAGCATCATGCGCCTTTGCTGCGATGCTGGACGAGTCGTCCGATGGAATTCAGGTACTGTGATCGATCTTTAGATGGCGATGCGTCTTGATAAATTTACTTGCTTAGTCACCAATCAGATTTACATCGCATTGTAGCCACACTAGGACAACTTGGTAGCAGTCTTGTTGCAAGCGCTGGGTAGTGCACCACGATGATGAGCTCGCTTACCTCTCCTGTCGGACCACTCTTCACTACAAGCATCAAAGCAGCTGTTTTATCAACAACCGATCGTCCTTTTTGATCCAAAATACTTGCTGCAGTGTAGCAAGCAATAGACGCTGAACTTGCTGCGATATAACGTCCACACATCTCCATAGTTGTACGCGTCGCTTCGAACGCCTAGTGATCAAAAGTGTTGTTTCTGCTCGCTTGGGCATCGATACAAAAGAAGTCTCCTGCCTTGCAACATCATAGCAAGCCTCTCCTTTGTGCAGAACACCATTACGAATATCATTGAAAAGCCGAAGCTGCGCGTGCGTAAACAACGTTAGTTCTGCACTCAAGCTGTCGTTGCACACCTATAGCGATGTACAACTTACACGATTTGTGGAGTCGACAAGCTCGAGCGCAGATGGAATTGAAACGCGAGGCTTCTGTTATCAAACATCAGAAACGTTGATCGAGCACATCACGATAGAATGGAATGACTGTCTTTCAACACAGGTCAAAGGCGTCCAAACCTTACGAAAAGGTTACTAGCTCAACCACTTGCGAATACCAGTGGAAGCGATCTTGTACTGCAGCGTGGTTTGCCTGGAATGCGCCAATTGCTTCAATTCAATAACAGCATGCAAGACGAATATTGACTGATGAACTACAGCCAACTTCATGTTGCGTGCCGTTTCAGCGAGTCGTCTCGGGTAAATCTCGATCCCGTGCTGGATCGACATCGTCGGTCAGATTCATTCGGTTTGCCAAGGTACAGTGACATCACAACTCAGCACCGGACACTTTAACGGGACAACTTGACGCTGACAGCTCGCTCATTCAAATTTTATCTCACTTTAATGCCCGCAGGTGTATCTGCGAGTTAAACCGGTTGACCTTAGTCCTGATCCCACGCTATCCATTCATCCATTCGAAAAAAATGCGAGTGGATCATTTTAAAGGCAGCATGGTCAATCGCCATGCTGCCGTCAAATGGCCCACTCGCTGCCTTCGTTCGCCTCGTCTTCCGGTGTAATGAAAGAGGTGTGAATCGACTTGATCATTACCTCACCGCAGAACATGCACTCGAACGCAATGATCTCGTCCAGCTTTTGCTGCAACATCTCACGCTCCTGCGCAATGACTGCTCTTTCGCAGCACTGTTTGCCTTTGTGGTCGCCGCGACGTTGCTTCCCTCGGAGCCAGACGTCACCGCTTCCTTTTTGGTCGATGACAATTCGAAAAAAGGGAAGGCTGACAGCGGTCGATCGCTGGAAAAAGTTCGTGTTCGCCGGCATTTAAGTGGAAAGCTCGTTGAGTTTTTGAACAAGCTGCTGTACCATTTGTCGCTGAAAAATGTTCAGGTGCTTCAGCATCTCTTGACGAAGTGCGCCAGCGTGGAAAGCATGGGAGCACGGGAAAAGGTAGAATTCCTTGTCTAGGATGTTCTGACAGGTGAGCTCACAGCGTTGATTGTCGGAAACGACAGCACAACGTTTACGTAGTTGCTGCATGTCAGTACGAATTAATTCAGCCGACTGGGTATAGTCATGCATCGCTTCCTTCAGCTGTTCAATGCGGTCATTGTACACTCCGAGCGACTCGCAAATCTCCTTCTTAAAATCGTTGACCAGGACGAGGTCAGGGAAGAAAGGCAAGGCATCCTCAATCGTCAACAAATCTCTCTCTTTTAGAATGTTCCTGGCGTTCTTATTCTCACGGTTCATCTGACTCATCAGATGAACCAAAGATGCTGCGACGCAAAGCATCGTCCATGCCACGCTTGGCAGGCGGCTTGGATTCAATTGCCGTCGATACGGATCCGTCATCCGTATCAGGAGAGTACGAGACACCGAGCTCGTACTCTGTGAAGACACGAGTGTCTTCATGACCAGCGCCTGCATCACCAGGTGATACAGGCTGAGTCGATTCAGCAACCGATGGGATATCAGTTGCTGTAGTTTCTGCTTCGGCGTCCGCACAGAGACGTGCAGACGCGCTCTCGGCGGCCTTGCTCGCGCATCGCATGGGCTTGTTTACCATGCGATGAGATGTTGGAAAGTGGACGCGGACCAACAAGTGCAAACCCCGTCCCAAATGATTTGGGACGAGTATCCATTTAGTCAATCAGTCACTAAAGTGACTGATGGTTAAGGGGGTGATGTAACGGGGTGAATCGTTACATAACAATTTATAAGAAATTGTTAATAGAATATAACTATAAGAGTTATATTCTCAGAATATTGTCATAAGGACAATATTCTGTAGCACTTCCAAGTAGTTCCTAATTGGTTGATATAGGCCATTATATCAACCAACGAAGACGCGCCACGACAGACGCACGCAATGAGTGGTGAGCAGATAACTGATTTACACATTTGTATTTAGACATAGTTAGATGAAGATAAATAGTGATTTATTGCAGACATTAACTATTATAAATACAGTTCTACTTTTTACTCTAACCGAGTACTCGCTTCTTCTTACCGTCTTCCTCTGCACGTACGAGTGTACGTGAAGTTACGAGGCACCGCCTTATTCTGTTATCAGAATAAGTAGCTTGTACTGTCACCAGTACAAGCTTCAGGGTGCCCCGTTACAGATCCTCTGTGAGGATGGAAAACATCACTCCCCTATCTGAGGCCCAAAAGGTCGCGCTTGATAAGCTGACCGCATCTTTGGGTCCAGAGTACGTGGAGTTCCTTGTTTCACAAGGTCCTGAAGTGCTTAATGCACGTGTTGAAAGCTTCATGCAGTATGAAGCGACCCTTTTAGGGCAGGTCCAAGACCAAATAGCGTCGGCTATGCCTACACGCTACGTGTCTGTACCAGACGAAGAGGCTAAGCCTCGTCCACTTAGAGTAGAAGTAAAACACTACTCCGGTAAGGAGGGTGAGAACCTCATCCTCTGGATCCGTGAGATCGAGATGGCCATGAGATCAGGTCTGATCACGCTTGACCATCAACAGGTCTCGCTGGCTATCTCGAAGCTCGATGGTAGAGCTAGAGAATGGGCCTTGACGTGTAGCACGTCGGTGGACATAGCGTTTCCCACATGGGAGTCGCTCAAGTTACAATTGGTAGAGGTGTTTTCTCCACCTAACCAGGCTTACCGCGTGCGCTCACGCTTTCTTTCTACCCGCCAGGGTAAGAATGAATTATCGGACTATGTCCAAGAGCTGCGAACGCTCATGGCTGCAATGCAGTCTGACCCTTTGCCTGAAGCAGTCCATGTAACTATCTTCATGGAAGGTCTACGTACTGGCATTGCCAGAACCGAAGTTTTTCGGGTTCACCCCTCTACGTTTGAAGAGGCTGTGAGAATTGCTCTTAATGCTGAGCATAACTTCAAGTCGGCCAGACTTGGTTGGAACGGATACAATCCTCGCTCTGTGAGAGCAAACTATTCGGGTACCACTGCCTATAATAGGCCGGAACCGATGGATCTCAGCTATGCTGAAGATGGAGGTGAAGCTGAGCTTTAAGCTGCTGAGCAGAAACACGTTGTAAGACGATGCTTTACGTGCGGAAGCACTAAACACTTGCGGCCTAGTTGCCCTTTGCGTAAGCAACGCCAGACTACGAGCCAACACTCGAGCCCGAGTCAGAAGTCTGGCATGGCACGGGGAAATGCCGACACCCAGTAGGCGCGGGGCGCCCTACTGGGGAAGAACTATGTTCTGTTACACCTTTAGATGGTAAAGGAATGCAGGGCTTAGCCCCAAAGAGTACCATACCTACGGGCATGGTGCGTGGATACAAGTCTGGCTTGTTGGTCGCCGGGGCGAAAATTAAGGGCTTTGAGAAGCCTTGGTCGATATTGATCGATTCTGGGGCGTCTTGCAATTATGCTCGACGCCGTTCCCTTGAGGGAAGTCAGCGTTATGCTGAGGCGCTTACAGCGCATGAGGGTGATTCTATCACGGTTCGTTTAGCGACTGGAAGTCGCGTAACGGTGCCTAAAGTTTCATTGAACTTAGGTATAAAGTTTTTAGACTTTGACAGTATTGAGCGCTGTCTTGTCCTAGATTTGGACTCGAGATATGATCTCATCCTAGGTATGGCTTGGCTTGAGCGCCATGAGCCATGGATTAATTGGAGGTCTAAGACCTTAGGCGCTACGCGCAATGTTCCTAGCGAAGCTTTGGAGAGTCATGAACCCACCTTTGCTAGGCAGCAGAAGCGCTATTGGCGCGAGCCTTTGACAGAAGATGTCAATGTGCTAGATATTGGAATGTCCGAGTTATCTAACTCCAATGTTAAAAACATAAGTTTCGAGCCTAGCTCGTCTAGAACTAGTGAAACGGCACGTACTCCGTTGAGTGGTAATCGTTGTGATAACGAGTCACTGCATGCTGAAAGCATGGTTGGCCTAGGGCCGAGTGATCAAGGACGTGATTCCTTTGATGTGTGTATGGTGGCACGTGAAATTACACCGAGTGCGGTCGGCCGTGAGAGCACCGCACTGAATGTCGGTAATGGCGTTGTTGGCGATTCGCCATATGGTGTGGGCGGCCGTGAGGGCACCACACCTAATGTCAGTAAAGATATTGTTGGCGATACGCCGTGTAGAGTGGACGGCCGTGAGGGCACCACGCTTAACGCCGGTAATGGCGTTGTTGGCGATACGCCGTATAGTGTGGGCGGCCGTAAGGGCACCACACCTAATGTCAGTAATGACACTGTTGGCGATACGCCGTATAGTGTGGACGGCCGTGAGGGCACCACACCTAATGTCGGTCAAGACAAAAGCTCTCGTGTAGAGCGTACTATGGTTGGTAGTAACCATGGGGACAATATTGTCCCGACCCCTAAGGGGTGTAAGGTCTCGAAGAGACAATCGAGACGCCGAGTAGCAGCTGTAAAGCGCCAGGCGTCCTCACAGTCACATAGTGAGATAAGCAATACACTATATACACTTGTTAATGGAGTGACTGGTCAGGTTAATGGCAATGTGAGCATCGAAACCCTTCCATCTGTGGACGCTCTGTGTGAGCTAGACGAAATGTCTGATGGCGAGTTTAGCCAGGCCTTGAAGGCAGGAGAGTTATCCGAGTTAGCAATCATTAGACCTGATACTGACTTGAATTCTTCCTCGTGAATGGATGAGTCTGTCCTAGAGGATACAAAGGCGGCACTTAGTGCACGAAATGGATCTTCGATCCTTAAAGATCCTTTGGATCCGTTCTATCCTTTAGTCAAGGAATTTCAAGATGTGGTGTGTCACAACCCACCTTCTGCCTTACCTCCCGATAGAGGTGTACGTCATGAGATTGACTTGGTTCCTGGAACTAAATACTGTGTAACACGGCAGTGGCCTTTGCCTAAAGAACAGTGCGACGTCATTGACGATTTCTTTCGTGCTAAGCACGCGGCTGGAATGGTTCGTGAGAGTAAATATCCCCATTCAACACCGACATTTTGTGTCAGAAAGCCAAATGGCAAGTGGCGTATTGTGCATGCTTACAATAAGCTTAATGCAGCCACTATACCGGCGCAGACGCCTATTCCTAAAAAGGATGTTCTTCAGAACAATATGGCGGGATGTACACTGTACAGTGCACTCGACTTAGTCGATGGTTTATACCAACTGCTCATGCGAGCATGCGATATTCCGCTAACAGCGGTGAGTACTCCGAGCGGTATGCTTTGGGAGTGGCTCGTTATGCCACAAGGGCTATCTAACGCTCCGGCTACATTTAACCGGTTGGTAACGCAACTATTCAGACCTCATCGAGGCTATGCACAAACGTACTTTGATGACATTTTTGTCCATAGTCGTGCAATGAATGGGCGATCAGATGTGGATAATCACATCGATCATTTACGAGCGGTTCTCGGGTGTATGCGGATGAATAAGCTGTATGCGAACGCATCGAAGTGCATCTTTGGTGCAGAAGAGATTCCCTTTCTAGGGTGCTTCATTGGGAAGCGAGGCCTTCGAGCGGATCCCGCTAAGGTAAAAGCCATAGTCGATTGGCCAGTCCCCAAGAACCAAAAGGACTTGCGTAAGTGGCTTGGCCTTGCCAATTACTTACATAAGTACAGTGCAAATTACGCAGATATGGCTCGGCCATTGTCCAATCTCCTTAAAAAGGATGTGGGTTGGTGTTGGGGTAACACCGAACATAATGCTTTTGAAGCAGTTAAGGAGAGTCTCCTTCATGCGCCAATATTGGCTTTGCCCGATTCTGGTTGGCCTTTCAGTGTCGTCTGTGACGCATCTGACTTTGCCATAGGCAGTGCTCTGTTACAAACAGATGTCGACGGACGCGAACGCGTCATCGCATTTGAATCTCGACAGCTAAAAGCTGCTGAAAAGAACTATCCTGTTCATGACAAAGAGCTACTTGCTATGAAGTACGCTCTTGTCAAATTCAGAGTCCATCTGCTTGGCTCGAAGCCATTTGTGATCTATACCGATCATGCGTCATTGCGCACTGCGACACAGTCGCCTCATCTCTCACAGAGAATGGCTCGTTGGCTTTCATTCTTTGCCGAATATAACTTCGAGGTGAAGTACAAGCCAGGTAAGCAAAACGCTTTGGCTGATGCGCTGTCGCGTCGACCTGACTATGAGCTTGCTCATGTTACGACCCTGTCGTCGTCAGTCCCTGACTTAATTCGTGCGGCATATGCCAAGGACGATCAGTGTGTAGCTTTGCTACGTGCTCTTGGGAGCGATGAGTTTAAAGACTCGGACATAGAATTGTCGGCACGTTTACGTGCGAGGCTACATCGATATTCCATCGATAATGGCCTGTTGTGCTATCGCACGGATATTGAGGACAACCCTCGTATCGTAGTACCTCATGATGAGGAATTAAAGTATCGGATCCTCTATGAGGCACATGATACTGCTTTAAGTGGTCATCTCGGTCGTGAGAAGACTTATAGCTCGGTGAGCCAGAGTTATTGGTGGCCCAAACTCTATAAGTGGGTGCGCACCTATGTGCGTACGTGCGAAACGTGTCAACGGGTAAAACCCTCGGCACATGCGGCGGCGCCGCTGGCTAGTTTGCCGGTACCCAGTGGTTGTTGGGAGTCCATGAGCATGGAATTTGTGTTTGGCCTACCGAAAGATTCGGAAGGCAACACTGGTATTGTGGTCTTTGTTGACCGATTGAGCAAGATGGCTCACTTAGCGGCTGTGCCGGATAGCATTGATGCTGAAGGTACAGCAAAGCTGTTTATCGACCGCGTCTTTCGCCAACATGGCTTGCCTGTGGCAATTATCTCTGATAGAGACCCCCGCTTCACTGGGAAGTTTTGGAAGTCTATCTTCAAGGTGCTTGGCACTCAGTTGGACATGTCCACAGCGGATCATCCGCAGACCGACGGTCAAACTGAGCGTGTAAACCGCGTCATCAACGACATTTTGCGCAGTGTTTGCGCTGATACGCCTAGGCGTTGGAGCTCAATGCTCCCTGTTGTTGAGTTTGCGTTGAATAACGCTGTTCATGCCTCAACAGGCTTTACTCCGTTCTATATAAACGGTCTCACTCACCCTCGCGTTCCCTTAACGCTATCACTACGTGAATCAGGGCTTGGTGGGGGAGAGGTTGCCGATCGGCTTGCTGATATCAGCCCTGCTACTGTTCAAAAACAGGTAAGCGAGTTTCTCGCAACGCGATTAAATGTCTTAAGACATGTGCGTGACGCAATGGCTGATAGCCAAGATACCCAAAAACAACAAGCTGATGCCAAAGGCAGAAATTGTATTGAACGTTATGAGGTCGGAGACCAAGTACTACTCAATGCTAAAAATCTACCTACAAATGAAGTGTCTGCTGTCTTTAAGACAAAGTTGCGTCCACGCTTTATTGGACCGTTTACGGTCACGGCCAAGAAGGGACTTGCGTATACGCTAAACCTCCCGCGCAAATTGCGCACACATCCAGTGTTCTACGTAGGCTTACTTAAGCCGTACCGGGATCCTTCCCATGTGAACTTGGAGGCGCTTGCGCCGACGACAAGGGCACTGCCCCGGATTGCTGTAGACGAATCAGCAAGTCCAACTGAGCCTCGCTCCGAATTTGAGCTTGATCCATCGCCTGAAGGCGGCTTTGCATCGCATCCAGCATGCACTGGGACTTACCCAAGGCCTCTTGAAGACCCTTCACTTCGAGAACCAATTTCTCGTGGGCCTCCACCGGTACACCGGCCGCCACCGACTTTGCTCGATGAGCATGGGTGTCGTCAATTCCATGTCGAGAGACTACTGAAACGACGTCGTCGTCAGGGCCAATACCAGTATCTGGTAAAGTGTCGTGGGTACCCTGAGTCTGAAAACTCATGGGAATTTGAGGTACCCCTTCGGCAAGACTGCCCATATGCTTTGGAGGCTTTTGAGCATCGTGGCCATGGTCATCTCGAGGCCGAGGCCGTTCACCACCACTAGTGGTGCGGGTTGGCGGGTTGTTGGTCACAGACTGACCAGCACTCGCGGCTACCTTAGTAGCCGAAGCATAGCGCGTGCGCTTGCGCAATTGGCCTCTGGCCTTAAGCTTGGCATAATCATACCGAAGCTTGCGTTCGAGACGCACATCCGCCGCATGGGCACTAGCCCTTAGAGCAAAAATGTTGCTGAGGCGACGCACATAGTGCACCCAGTGAACAAAGGCATCGTCTTCTTCACTCGCTGTTTCGCCTGCGAGCAGGAGAATGGGTATACCCTTCATCGGTGGAACTGGTGCACCACGTGCTTGCATGTCAAGGCGTGCCTTGTATTGACTTTGAGTCGTTAGGTGCGGCTCCAGGTACCTCTCACGAAGTGCCTGGCAGCTCACCACCTCCTCAGGAGTCTTAGGCCCATGGCCAATGACCCACGTTGCCAATGTTTGGCCGGCCGCTTGACGCAGACGTTCCTCCACACTGGGTGGGGTGAACACATAATCACGCTGGCGTTCAAGGGTTACAGTCATCTGTGCATAACGCTGAGCGTTTTCTTCTCTTTGAACAAGCAGTTGTTGTTGCTCATCGAGCGGGTTCGCGATGATTCTCTTATCAGAACCAGATGCTGCATGCTGCGCTGGCGGCGCGCTCGCACCTCCACGTTCAGCGAACGGATTTGGGGTGTTCGAAAGTTGTGCCTCAGGCATCAGTGAGCCGGACGTTGTCCCTGTGTCACCGCGGACACTGGTATCGCTACCATAGTCCACCTCTTCCTCTATTCCGAGGTAGTCGCACAGAGCCTTTGACTCGTTTGGTGATGAGGACATCGTGCTGGAGCGTACGTTACCGTGAGGTTCACCGTACGCGCACTGTTCTCGCTGAGAACACGAGTTCGATTGACGTTTTGGCAAACGTCAGTCTGGTGGGGGGAGGGTGTAACGGGGTTGCACGAAATCATGGTACTTTGTACCAGAGGTGTTACACACCTGAGGGTTCGCTTCTGTGAAGGTGATATAGAATATCTTATCGGTTTGTAGGGGCTGACGAGTGTCAGCCATTAGATACGAAAGATCTTTGAGTAGGATTAAGATATTCTATAGGCTTTAACAAAAATAAAATCAGTTCCCATTTTGATCTGAAAGACACGTGGCTTGCGAGCCGTCTTGATCGTTGATCTCTGATCACTGAGAGTTAGCGACACCTCCTTGAGGTAGCTACTCTTGAGCACTAAGTGCTGTCGATTCACTGAATCGTTAGGTCCCCTGGAACAGGGATCTGAAGCTATAAAGCTTGTTGACTCGTAAAGTCGTTAGTTCTTTAGAACTAAGTTGCTCGTAAAGCGTTAAGTCTTCCTCTGACTTAAGGAGCTGTATAGCTCCGCTACACAAGCGCTCGTCAGGGTGCTTGGCCAGTAGAAATAACGGGTGGTTCAAGATCGACGGATCGCGGTTGCCTCTGCTTGATGGCAAACCTTGGGAACCGAATGGCCATATCCAAGACGGAGCGACTTTTTGTTGTAGTTTCGGCCCGTTCCGCACCCGCATCGCGTTTCTGGTGCACACGACGCATGATTGACAGAATGAGACGCTTTAAGTTTAGTGTGGCGGCCTCCATCCATGCTTCGTACACTTCCTTTGGCTTATGGTCGATAACCTCGGGTTAAGATAGTTGTACCATAGCTCTTCTATGTTCAACCTTTCCACGCTGCGAAATAACACGATTGCAGCTCCGTACTCATTGCGGCCCACGTATGCCCAACCATCTTTTTAAAATCCTCGATAGGTGTTGCGTAGAACACAAGCTTACTTGGTCGACCGTGGCTGGGGATCAAATTGAAAGTCGTGGCTGGGTCGAGATGACTCTTCTGATCTTGCAGGAATTGCTTGAACTCGAACAGCAAGTAGCATGCGCACCAATACTTTGCACGCTACCATTCCGCACATTAAACTTGTCCAGAAATAGTTCAAAGATTTATGAGCATAGGATAGTCTGCTACGTTTTCTCGTCAGTTCCCAATCTTTCCAGCTTCTGCGGGAGCTGGAATAGCAGAAATGGGTCGCCACTCTCGATTTCGAAAAACTTCAGCGCCATCTATTCGAACGAACGCGCTGTCTCCGCGGACATATCGGCTGCACGACCAAACTTTTCTTTGTCGAAGAGTTTGTCTGCTTCTGCTGTTACCACGCGCTGACGTTCCCATCCCTTGCGGTAGACGGCCAATGCCTGTCTGAAATCGCGATCGTCACTATTACTGTAATATGGTAGCCCGTTACATGATGTTAGAACCACACGGTGTCAATAGGAATATTGTCTAGCTTGACAATATTCTACCAATATTATCCAAGATACAAAATATTGAAGAAATGTTATGTTCCTTTAATAATATTCATGCGCTCCTCCAATATTGATTGATAAAAGACATATCAACCATAGATTGCGACCAATAGCTGCTAGACGCGCGCAATGAGTGGTGAACAGGTTGTCGTCATACGACGACGTAGTTTAATGCAGTTAGATAAAGATTAAGGTTATATTGGTAGCTTAACTATATTGAATACAGTTCTTATTTTACCTTTACTTGACCGAGTTGTTCAAGTGGATTAGCTTCCTCTACACGTACTAGTGTACGTGAAGTTTCGTGGAACCCAAAAAAAGGTGCCCCGTTTCGCCCGGTAGCCTTTTGTATTCCTTCCAACGACTACTGTTATACGGGGTGTCCGTCCATGAACATGTTGGACGTAGAAGACGACAGCTTATACGTCACGCGTGAAGGCTACTCCCACCTGAGTGACTCAGAATGGGAGATAGTTGGCCGCATGAGTGTGCTCATGGGCGAACCCGCCATCAGTGGTATGTTGAAGTCTCTAAGCAGAGACCAGCAACATGCTGCTACAAACAAGTTCCTACACGGGGAAGTTGATGTCGAAAGACAGAAGATAGCTTTTGTAACGGGGCACCCTGAAGCTTGTACTGGTAACAGTACAAGCTACTTATTCTGATGACAGAATAAGGCGGTGCCTCGGAACTTCACGTACACTGGTACGTGCAGAGGAAGACGGTAAGAAGAAGCAAGTACTTAGTTTAAGTAAAAGTAGAACTGTATTTATCATAGTCAATGTCTGTTAATAAACCACTGTTTATCCTCATCTAACTATGCCTAAATACAATTGTGTAAATCAACTATCTGCTCACCACTCATTGCGTGCGTCTGTCGTGGCGCGTCTTCGTTGGTTGATATAATGGCCTATATCAACCAATTAGGAACTACTCGTAAGTGCTGCAGAATATTTTGGTCCTTATGACAATCTTCTGAGAATATAACTCTGATAGTTATATTCTACTAACAATTTCTTATAAATTTTTATGTAACGATTCACCCTACTACATCACCCCCCCTTAACCATCGGTCACTTTAGTGACTGATTGACTGAATGGATACTCGTCCCAAATTATTTGGGACGGGGTTTGCACTTGTTGGTCCGAGTCCACAGTCCAGTTTCATCGCATAGTTAACAAGCCTATGCGATGCGCGAGCAAGGCCGTCGAGAGCGCGTCCACACGTCTCTGTGCGGACGCCGAAGCAGAAACCACAGCAACTGATGTCTCATCGGTTGCTGAAGCGACTCAGCCTGTGCCACCTGGTGATGCAGGCGCTCGTCATGAAGACACTCATGACTTCACAGAGTATGAGCTCGGTGTCTCATACTCTCCTGATACGGAAGACGGATCCGTATCGACGGCGGTTGAAACCAAGCCGCCTGTCAAGCGTGGCATGGACGATGCTATGCGTCGCAGCATCTTTGGTTCATCTGACAAATCAGATGAACCATCGCCGAAGCAAAGGCGCTCGAGGTCGCAAGACACGAGCGCTCACAGTGGTGTCGGTTCTCCTATTGACACCACTTCGCAACGAGGTGCCAGTGCTTCTGTCGGCACGTCGCAGGAAGAGCGGGACCGCAGTGTATTGCGTCTTGCTCCTGAAAAAAAAAACCATGGCTGCCTCCAAAGTCAGTCATGGATCGCTTGTCGGCGACGACGAGTGATCGTTATCGAACACGATTATTTGATTCGTCAAGGATCCATCACCTTGACCCCAGTGCGAAAGACTATCGCGCTGAGAATGAATTCTTCATCGATGCTTTCTTCAAGCATCGATGGTACAGTGGGAATCACAAAAGTAATGGTCCCTCACTGCTTCAAGCGTGGAACGCTTACATCCATAACCTAGACGATGTAGGCCGTGACGTTTGGAACGACAAAATTATCAAAGCTCGTGATAAGTTTGAAAAGCGAACCCCGACAGGTGCACGCTATAAGCTGCATCATCTGTCAAGGGAGAAAGGATTACCCTGCCTCTCATGGGGAGACTCGTGCCCATGTTGTGTGAACAACTCTGCACGAGCACCTAAGGAGGCTTACCTCCTTACCAGCCCGTGGTGGCGCGTACGTATCTCTAGTGAGATGTACGAAGGGATTGACAACCTGAAATCCCTTTATGATCGTGCCAGGAAGACTTTCTCCAGCGGTCCTTCTGCGGCACAGGATGCGCTGCGTCGTACTGCTTAACCAGACCCAGTACGTCAACCATCAGTTGGGAGCGGGGCTCCCAAGTATCCCAGGACGGGGGATAGCCGCGCCACCGGACGAGGCGACTCGTCCGACGTCCGTTCACGTCGTGGTGGTTCAACAGCTGCTCAACCAGATAGCGCTGGCCACCGCGAGAGTCCTCTAATGGAGGTGGAGGAGGAGGGAAGACTCTCTCCACACAATCGTGGGGATACGTGTGTTCCCGAGAGCATCGTTGATCGCGTAGCGCAAGGGTTACGCGGCGATCTCGAACATGAGCGGGACAGGCGTCTCCAACTGGCGGACAATGTCTTGAAGCATCGAGATGAGTATGCTTTTGCTCAGCTTGAGAAAGAGAGAGCTCTGATGTCTCTTCGTGACGAGCTAAGGGTAGCTCGTGGGATTGTTGATCGGTCTCGGGATGAGATAACTGCTACTCAGACCCTTGTCGATGCCCACCATCGGGAGCACAAGGCTCTCTGCAAGATGCTTGAGCGCAAGGGCGTTCTTCATCGGAAGAAGCAGCGTACTGATGATACGGCTTAAGCCGACCAACGTAAAACGTGGGATGCGTTCGCATCTTACGTGGCAACTCGATCGTGTGTGCGTTGCCTAGGCGGTGCAATACACGAAATGGGCCGATGTACTTGGGTAGGAGTTTACTACTACCCAAGTTAGTCAATACATGCTTTGGTAGATTAACCGTAGACAGTAGGACTAAGTCACCATAATTAAATAAAAGAGTGTTTGCCCTCCCATTCTTGTCAGCGTTTTGCTTTTGCTTATCCACCGCTTCGGCGATGGAGTCTCGCACAAACGGACTACCGTTTCACGAGCCAGTATGAACTCATCTGATGACTCGTTAGCTTCAGTGCGCTGTGAGTGCACTACAGCAACATCAACCTTTTCTTCAGTGAGGGCTACCTCGCTCTCACTGGCATCATCTTCTTCGATATCGATGTTGTCGATATCGGCATCAAACGCAATGACCTCTTCTTCAGAGCGTGATGAGCGTGAACCTAATCGGTTTTTGCTCGTGCGAGTCCCTCCCCCCCTTAAACCAGAGTTACACTCTAGTAAGGTGGGTACACGCGGATGGCGTAAGCCATTCACGTAAAACGGTGTATGTGTCGTGGACGCATGCACCGAGTTGGTAATGGCAAACTCTACCATTGGCAAGAACTCACTCCAACTCTTAAAGGATAGTACGTATCCTCAAAGTATCTCTTCGAGGACACGATTAACGCGTTCCGTCTGACCATCTGACTCTGGACGATCAAATGTAGACATCTTCAAGCGCGTTCCGAGTGATTTGAACACGGAACGCCAGAAATCAGCAGTGAATCGTGGATCTCTGTCTGATACGAGTTCACGGGGCAACCCATGAAGTCGGAAGATGGTGTCGATAAAGACACAAGCACAGCCACTTGCCGTGATTGACTCTGGTACAGCCACCAGGTGTACCATTTTGCTGAATCTGTCAACAAATACGAGAATACCCGTATTCCCGAGTGCGTCTTTGGGTAACCAGAAGACAATATCCATTGAGATGGATTCCCAGCACTCAGCCGGAACTGGTAGAGGCTATAAAGGTGCATGCAGTGAAGGACTTGACTTCACTCGTTGACAGACTTTGCATGCGCGAACATACTTGCGCACAAAGTGATACTGGCGGGGCCAGTAAAAGTCTTGACTCACCGTGAGATATGTCTTCTCCCGGCCACGATGTCCTCCTATAGGAGCATCGTGATACTCGAACATGATCCGCAAACGCAGATCAGTATCATCTGGAATGACAACACGTGGTGTGTCACCAGAAACGGCTGTATAATACAGTAAACCGTTGCGAGTAGTGTATCGATCTGATGCAGATCAATACGCAGACGATAATCGTTTCAACGATTCTCGAGATGGTTGTGAGAGATATGTCAACAACTTCACAATCTCACCATCTTAGGCATACGCCCGCCTCACATCATCATGTAACGTTGAAGAAGGTACTGTGGACGTCATAACCGCAACAGTGGCTGTCACACTGTTGGGTTTCACGACTAATTCAAAGTCGGGCCGACGTGAGAGTGCATCAGCGACGACATTAAGTCGTCCTGGTTTGTACTCTACCGTAAAGTTGTATTCCGCAAAGAATGACAACCACCGCGCCATTCGTTGTGAAAGGTGCGGGCTGTTCACTGCCGTGCGTGATGACGCATGGCCAGTGTAAACAATGAAGGGTCTATCTCCTAATAGATAGACTCTGAACTTCGCGAGTGCATACTTCATGGCAAGGAGTTCCTTGTCATACACTGGATAGTTCCGCTCAGCTAGTTGCAGCTGAAGCGACTGATAGCAGACGACGCGTTCAACGCCTTCAAGATCGTACTGCATTAATGCACAGCCGATTGCGAAATCGCTGGCATCACAGAACACATGAAATGGCCTGTCCTGATCGGCAATTTCTAGGACTGGGGATTGTATCAAGCTCTGCTTGATACCATCAAAGGAGCGCTGACATTCAGCGTTCCATAACCACCTCTCTTTCTTTTTCAACAAACGAGAGAGGTGTACAGTCATCTCGGCGTAATTGCGTGAATACTTGTGCGAATACGCCGCTCGCCCAGGAAATTTTCGAAGACCTTTGACATCAACTGGCACAGGCTAGTCGGTGATCGCCTTGATCTTTTCGGGATCAGAACGTACACCGTTCTTACCAACGATGCACCCAAGGAGTGGCATTTCGCTTGCAGCAAATATACACTTCTTGGGATTGGCATACAATTGATGCTTTCGCATGATTGTAAGAACCTGTCGGACGTGGTATCTGTGAACCTCAACGTCCGACTTTCAACCCATAGCCCGACTATGGATGAATACGTAATCCATAGCCCGACTATGGACGAAGCCATCGTCGATGTAACTCGGCGCGAATTCTTGTACTAGTCTCAACGGATGTGATACACACGTGCTGAACGTGGCAGGGGCATTACTAAGCCCTTGTGGCATTACTAACCATTCCCAGAGCTTGCGGCTAGGCGTGCTCACTGCGGTATAGAGTATGTCCCGTTTTCGCATAAGGATTTGATAGAAGCCATCCATCAAATCCATGGACGAAAAGATGGTACTCTTTGACATACCATCTATGATTACGTCCTTCCTTGGTATCGGCGTCTGAGCCGGTACCGTTGCAGCATTCAACTTGTTAAATGCATGCACTATCCGCCACCCTCCTGTTGCTTTTCGCACACAGAAGGTCGGAGAGCTATGTGGGGAAGTTGATTCCCTCACATGACCCGCAGCTAAACGATCGGCAAAGAACTTGTCGATCGCAAGTACATGTTCACGAGGCAGTGGCCACTGCTTCATGACACAGTACTTCGAGCCTGGTTTTTTTTTGGGGATTTAAGCTCGACCTCGTGTTGAGTACCTTTATCCTTCTGTAACTCGCACGGAACAGTTTCAGGGAATACATCCTTGAATTCAACCAAATCTTCATAGGGAGGATTTGTCTTGAGCGATTCCCACGATTGGGAGTCATATCACTCATCTCGTGTCTTTTCATCTAGGACACTCTCGTCCATCGATGAACTACTGAGAACTCTCTCGTTCTCAGTAAACATTGTTGCTGACCTTATGTCGGTTACACACTCGTCGTCAGCGACGAGTACGCAGATCTGCTTGACTTTGCCACTATGCAGATCACGCAAGAACCTTTTATGTTCGAGCGTTGGCAACTGAGTGATCTCCGAAGTCAACTTCGGAGGCGCAATCAGATCAAGTGTATAAGCGCCTACACTTGATCCGTCATTGACTATGACATTCAATGTCTCTGTCATTTCCTGGGGACTTTTCCCTCAGGCCTCGAAGGACTTATCCCTTCGGCTTCCCGGGGACTTACTCCCTCGGGTTTCGGAAAACTTATTTCCGCCGTATTTGTAATCTTGGGACTTATTCCCTTTACTTCCTCTAGCTGGGGTTGCGCAACCACAGCGAGATCCTCTACGAAAGACTGTCCAGTCGATCTAGGATTATCGTTTCGCTTACCCTGAGCGATCGATTGTTTCTCTTCTAGATGTTCCCCGCTAGGGATACATCTTTGTCCCGGTCCACTCGACTTATTCGAGTGGTGGACCTTCGGCGCAGCCTGTGTTTCCTCACAGCCGCCGGAACTTTGCTCCGAAGTGTAACCGTTTGGTACACTAAGGTTTTGTGCAGTCGTACTAACGACCGTACCACAAGTGAGGCCATCGCACTCACTCGTAGTACATCCACACGCTTGTGGACGCTCCAAAACGTTCATCAGATAGCCATCTGATGAACAAGCGGCAGGCATCGTTACTGTTCGATGTTGCCAGTTTACCCGTGGTTCGTACCTTCTGAGCCACGGTATTCCAAGGATGACATCAAATTTGTCATCCAAATCCAATACGATAAAGTCATCGTCATATTGGGTATCTTCTAGCGTATAGTGAATCTTCACTATACGCTTCATGACGGTTACGGATGCGCCTGTCGCAAGACGTACCGTCATCCTCGTAGGAGGTGTGTCACATTCACTGAACTTGAAGTGACCATCTTCTAGCGATTGGCGTCGCACAAAATTGTTGGACGCCCCACAATCGACTAGAGCTCGAAGGGACAACTTATTCGTCACTTCGAGTTTCAAGGTAATGAGTGAGATCTCATTACCTAGAGCAGCACGCAAAACGTTTGTGTGTTGGGAGCAACCTTCATCAAGAGGCCCACAAATTCTCTTGACGTTGCTGGACCAGTAGGGTGCTCCGCACCTACTGATCCTGTCCGTTTTTTGACGGTCCATCCCGTTGTTGCGTCTTTGCACCAAAAGCAGACCCGCGTCCCTGCCCCTTTCTCATGGGTGGACGGTCATTACGCCCAGTGTTGCGAGACACTGGACAAAGGGCACTACACTCGTAAGCGTAGTGTCCTGTCTTTTGACATCTATTGTATTTCTGCAACCTTTTGTAGTCTGTAGAGCGAGCCTTCTCGCTCTATACATAACAGAGTTCCATCGGCTCTGGACCTCCGCTGTCATATCGTCTCGGTTGACGATATGATGTCGAGCTGGTGCGAGCCTGTCTCAGACTGAAGTCTTCCTGTTCCGCAATGGAAATGGACTGCTCTAGTGAATCTAGTTCAAGTCGGAACAGGTGAGTCTTGACGGGACCATCCGCAAGACCCTGCATGAACACCGAAACCAACGTGTGTTCATCAACCGGGTTGGAACTTATACAACTCGTGAGATGTCGTATATGTTGCGCGTAAGCGTGCACATCACGCTTACCCTGTTTGAGCTTCAAGAGTTCGGTTCGAGCTCTGAACTCAGCTCTAGGCGGTTCAAACGTTTGTCTGAGCCGTGACTTGAAGACTTCCAACGACCCAAACGCATATGGGTCGTGCAGCTTGAGCCCCAGTGCCCAAGTCTTGGCACGTCCTGCCAGATTTGACCAGGCAAATGCAACTTGCATATCCCCGTCGTCGATGCAACTCGCCCTGGTGGCGTCGTCTAATTCGACGAACCATCTCAAGAGGGAGTCTTCTTCGACCCCCCTATACTTGGAGATGTCAATCTTCAAAGTCTCGGGTCGACGCGAGTGCATCGACCCGCCAGCAGCAGCCTGCTGCTGTCTCAACAGTTCAAACTGTTGAGCACCCTGTTCTCTCAACAACTCTGCTTGTTGAGAACTTCGTTGGTGAAGCAAGGCTACTTTCTCGCGTTCGGCATCAAGTTCATTTTGAATGAACTTGGCGATAGTAGCATGTTGGGCATCTCTATTGAGAGCCTCTAGCATGACGCTAACAGCATGGATGCCCATGGTTGAACCCATCCGTTCAACCGCATCCCATTCGACGTCGCTCAAATGGGAGTAGCCGTCACGCGTAGCGTGAAAGCTTTGGTCATCTTCATCATCTAACATATTCGTGTTAGATGTGAACGTGGTCCTTGGACGGACTACAAAGTGCTACCAGGTGTAACGGGGCACCCTGAAGCTTGTACTGGTAACAGTACAAGCTACTTATTCTGATGACAGAATAAGGCGGTGCCTCGTAACTTCACGTACACTGGTGCGTGCAGAGGAAGACGGTAAGAAGAAGCAAGTACTTGGTTAAAGTAAAAAGTAGAACTGTATTTAGCATAGTTAATGTCTGCAATAAATCAATATTTATCTTCATCTAACTATGTCTAAATACAAATGTGTAAATCAACTATCTGCTCACCACTCATTGCGTGCGTCTGTCGTGGCGCGTCTTCGTTGGTTGATATAATGGCCTATGTCAACCAATTAGGAAATACTCGTAAGTGCTGCAGAATATTTGTCCTTACGACAATATTCTGAGAATATAACTCTGACAGTTATATTCTACTAACAATTTCTTATAAATTGTTATGTAACGATTCACCCCACTACATCACCCCCCCTTAACCATCGGTCACTTTAGTGACTGATTGACTAAATGGATACTCGTCCCAAATCATTTGGGACGGGGTTTGCACTTGTTGGTCCGAGTCCACAGTCCAGTTTCATCGCATAGTTAACAAGCCTATGCGATGCGCGAGCAAGGCCGTCGAGAGCGCGTCCACAAGTCTCTGTGCGGACGCCGAAGCAGAAACCACAGCAACTGATGTCTCATCGGTTGCTGAAGCGACTCAGCCTGTATCACCTGGTGATGCAGACGCTCGTCATGAAGACACTCATGACTTCACAGAGTATGAGCTCGGTGTCTCATACTCTCCAGATACGGAAGATGCATCCTTGTCGAAGGCGGTTGAAACCAAGCCGCCTGTCAAGCGTGGCATGGATGATATAACGGGGTGAATCGTTACATAACAATTTATAAGAAATTGTTAGTAGAATATAACTGTCAGAGTTATATTCTCAGAATATTGTCATAAGGACAAATATTCTGCAGCACTTACGAGTATTTCCTAATTGGTTGATATAGGCCATTATATCAACCAACGAAGACGCGCCACGACAGACGCACGCAATGAGTGGTGAGCAGATAGTTGATTTACACATTTGTATTTAGACATAGTTAGATGAAGATAAATATTGATTTATTGCAGACATTGACTATGATAAATACAGTTCTACTTTTTACTTTAACCAAGTACTTGCTTCTTCTTACCGTCTTCCTCTGCACGCACCAGTGTACGTGAAGTTACGAGGCACCTCCTTATTCTGTTATCAGAATAAGTAGCTTGTACTGTTACCAGTACAAGCTTCAGGGTGCCCCGTTACACCTGGTAGCACTTTGTAGTCCGTCCAAGGATCGCGTTCACATCTAACATGAATATGTTGGATGATGAAGACGACCAAAGCTTTCACGCTACGCGTGACGGCTACTCCCATTTGAGCGATGTCGAATGGGATGCGGTTGAACGGATGGGTTCAACCATGGGCATCCATGCTGTTAGCGTCATGCTAGAGGCTCTCAATAGAGATGCCCAACATGCTACTATCGCCAAGTTCATTCAAAATGAACTTGATGCCGAACGCGAGAAAGTAGCCTTGCTTCACCAACAAAGTTCTCAACAAGCAGAGTTGTTGAGAGAACAGGGTGTTGAACAGTTTGAACTGTTGAGAAAGCAGCAGGCTGCTGCTGCTGCTGGGTTGATGCACTCGCGTCGACCCGAGACTTTGAAGGTTGACATCTCCAAGTATAGGGGAGTCGAAGAGGACTCCCTCTTGAAATGGTTCGTCGAATTAGACGACGCCACCAGGGCGAGTTGCATCGACGACGGGGATATGCAAGTTGCATTTGCCTGGTCAAATCTGGCAGGACGTGCCAAGACTTGGGCACTGGGGCTCAAGCTGCACGACCCATATGCGTTTGGGTCGTTGGAAGTCTTCAAGTCACGGCTCAGACAAACGTTTGAACCGCCTAGAGCTGAGTTCAGAGCTCGAACCGAACTCTTGAAGCTCAAACAGGGTAAGCGTGATGTGCACGCTTACGCGCAACATATACGACATCTCACGAGTTGTATAAGTTCCAACCCGGTTGATGAACACACGTCGGTTTCGGTGTTCATGCAGGGTCTTGCGGATGGTCCCGTCAAGACTCACCTGTTCCGACTTGAACTAGATTCACTAGAGCAGTCCATTTCCATTGCGGAACAGGAAGACTTCAGTCTGAGACAGGCTCGCACCAGCTCGACATCATATCGTCAACCGAGACGATATGACAGCGGAGGTCCAGAGCCGATGGAACTCTGTTATGTATAGAGCGAGAAGGCTCGCTCTACAGACTACAAAAAGGTTGCAGAAATACAATAGATGTCAAAAGACAGGACACTACGCTTACGAGTGTAGTGCCCTTTGTCCAGTGTCTCGCAACACTGGGCGTAATGACCGTCCACCCATGAGAAAGGGGCAGGGACGCGGGTCTGCTTTTTGGTGCAAAGACGCAACAACGGGATGGACCGTCAAAAACGGACAGGATCAGTAGGTGCGGAGCACCCTACTGGTCCAGCAACGTCAAGAGAATTTGTGGGCCTCTTGATGAAGGTTGCTCCCAACACACAAACGTTTTGCGTGCTGCTCTAGGTAATGAGATCTCACTCATTACTTGAAACTCGAAGTGACGAATAAGTTGTCCCTTCGAGCTCTAGTCGATTGTGGGGCGTCCAACAATTTTGTGCGACGCCAATCGCTAGAAGATGGTCACTTCAAGTTCAGTGAATGTGACACACCTCCTACGAGGATGACGGTACGTCTTGCGACAGGCGCATCCGTAATCCGTCATGAAGCGTATAGTGAAGATTCACTATACGCTAGAAGATACCCAATATGACGATGACTTTATCGTATTGGATTTGGATGACAAATTTGATGTCATCCTTGGAATACCGTGGCTCAGAAGGTACGAACCACGGGTAAACTGGCAACATCGAACAGTAACGATGCTCTGCCGCTTGTTCATCAGATGGCTATCTGATGAACGTTTTGGAGCGTCCACAAGCGTGTGGATGTACTACGAGTGAGTGCGATGGCCTCACTTGTGGTACGGTCGTTAGTACGACTGCACAAAACCTTAGTGTACCAAACGGTTACACTTCGGAGCAAAGTTCCGGCGGCTGTGAGGAAACACAGGCTGCGCCGAAGGTCCACCACTCGAATAAGTCGAGTGGACCGGGACAAAGATGTATCCCAGCGGGAAAATCTAGAAGAGAAACAATCGATCGCTCAGGTTAAGCGAAACGATAATCCTAGATCGACTGGACAGTCTTTCGTAGAGGATCTCGCTGTGGTTGCGCAACCCCAGCTAGAGGAAGTAAAGGGAATAAGTCCCAAGATTACAAATACGGCGGAAATAAGTTTTCCGAAACCCGAGGGAGTAAGTCCCCGGGAAGCCGAAGGGATAAGTCCTTCGAGGCCTGAGGGAAAAGTCCCCAGGAAATGACAGAGACATTGAATGTCATAGTCAATGACGGATCAAGTGTAGGCGCTTATACACTTGATCTGATTGCGCCTCCGAAGTTGACTTCGGAGATCACTCAGTTGCCAACGCTCGAACATAAAAGGTTCTTGCGTGATCTGCATAGTGGCAAAGTCAAGCAGATCTGCGTACTCGTCGCTGACGACGAGTGTGTAACCGACATAAGGTCAGCAACAATGTTTACTGAGAACGAGAGAGTTCTCAGTAGTTCATCGATGGACGAGAGTGTCCTAGATGAAAAGACACGAGATGAGTGATATGACTCCCAATCGTGGGAATCGCTCAAGACAAATCCTCCCTATGAAGATTTGGTTGAATTCAAGGATGTATTCCCTGAAACTGTTCCGTGCGAGTTACAGAAGGATAAAGGTACTCAACACGAGGTCGAGCTTAAACCAGGCTCAAAGTACTGTGTCATGAAGCAGTGGCCACTGCCTCGTGAACAAGTACTTGCGATCGACAAGTTCTTTGCCGATCGTTTAGCTGCGGGTCATGTGAGGGAATCAACTTCCCCACATAGCTCTCCGACCTTCTGTGTGCGAAAAGCAACAGGAGGGTGGCGGATAGTGCATGCATTTAACAAGTTGAATGCTGCAACGGTACCGGCTCAGACGCCGATACCAAGGAAGGACGTAATCATAGATGGTATGTCAAAGAGTACCATCTTTTCGTCCATGGATTTGATGGATGGCTTCTATCAAATCCTTATGCGAAAACGGGACATACTCTATACCGCAGTGAGCACGCCTAGCCGCAAGCTCTGGGAATGGTTAGTAATGCCACAAGGGCTTAGTAATGCCCCTGCCACGTTCAGCACGTGTGTATCACATCCGTTGAGACTAGTACAAGAATTCGCGCCGAGTTACATCGACGATGGCTTCGTCCATAGTCGGGCTATGGATTACGTATTCATCCATAGTCGGGCTATGGGTTGAAAGTCGGACGTTGAGGTTCACAGATACCACGTCCGAAAGGTTCTTACAATCATGCGAAAGCATCAATTGTATGCCAATCCCAAGAAGTGTATATTTGCTGCAAGCGAAATGCCACTCCTTGGGTGCATCGTTGGTAAGAACGGTGTACGTTCTGATCCCGAAAAGATCAAGGCGATCACCGACTAGCCTGTGCCAGTTGATGTCAAAGGTCTTCGAAAATTTCCTGGGCGAGCGGCGTATTCGCACAAGTATTCACGCAATTACGCCGAGATGACTGTACACCTCTCTCGTTTGTTGAAAAAGAAAGAGAGGTGGTTATGGAACGCTGAATGTCAGCGCTCCTTTGATGGTATCAAGCAGAGCTTGATACAATCCCCAGTCCTAGAAATTGCCGATCAGGACAGGCCATTTCATGTGTTCTGTGATGCCAGCGATTTCGCAATCGGCTGTGCATTAATGCAGTACGATCTTGAAGGCGTTGAACGCGTCGTCTGCTATCAGTCGCTTCAGCTGCAACTAGCTGAGCGGAACTATCCAGTGCATGACAAGAAACGGCTTGCCACGAAGTATGCACTCGCGAAGTTCAGAGTCTATCTATTAGGAGATAGACCCTTCATTGTTTACACTGACCATGCGTCATTACGCACGGCAATAAACAGCCCGCACCTTTCACAACGAATGACGCGGTGGTTGTCATTCTTTGAGAATATAGCTTTACGGTAGAGTACAAACCAGGACGACTTAATGTCGTCGCTGATGCACTCTCACGTCGGCCCGACTTTGAATTAGTCGTGAAACTTTACAGTGAGACAGCCACTGTTGCGGTTATGACGTCCACAGTACCATCTTCAACGTTACATGATGATGTGAGGCGGGCGTATGCCTAAGATGGTGAGATTGTGAAGTTGTTGACATATCTCTCACAACCATCTCGAGAATCGTTGAAACGATTATCGTCTGCGTATTGATCTGCATCAGATCGATACACTACTCGCAACGGTTTACTGTATTATACAGCCGTTTCTGGTGACACACCACGTGTTGTCATTCCAGATAATACTGATCTGCGTTTGCAGATCATGTTCAAGTATCACGATGCTCCTATAGGAGGACATCGTGGCCGGGAGAAGACATATCTCACGGTGAGTCGAGACTTTTACTGGCCCCGCCAGTATCAGTTTGTGCGCAAGTATGTTCGCGCATGCGAAGTCTGTCAACGAGTGAAGTCAAGTCCTTCACTGCGTGCACCTTTACAGCCTCTACCGGTTCCGGCAGAGTGCTGGGAATCCATCTCAATGGATATTGTCTTCTGGTTACCCAAAGACGCACTCGGGAATACGGGTATTCTCGTATTTGTTGACAGATTCAGCAAAATGGTACATCTTGTGGCTGTACCAGAGTCAATCACGGCAAGTGGCTGTGCTTGTGTCTTTATCGACACCATCTTCCGACTTCATGGGTTGCCCTGTGAACTCGTATCAGACAGAGATCCACGATTCACTGCTGATTTCTGGGGGTCCGGGTTTAAAAACCTCCCAAAAGGTTTTTGAAGATGTCTACATTTGATCGTCCAGAGTCAGATGGTCAGACGGAACGCGTGGAAGAAAGGGGACCGTTAATCGTGTCCTCGAAGAGATACTTTGAGGATACGTACTATCCTTTAGGAGTTGGAGTGAGTTCTTGCCAATGGTAGAGTTTGCCATTACCAACTCGGTGCATGCGTCCACGACACATACACCGTTTTACGTGAATGGCTTACGCCATCCGCGTGTACCCACCTTACTAGAGTGTAACTCTGGTTTAAGGGGGGGAGGGACTCGCGCGAGCAAAAACCGATTTGGTTCACGCTCATCACGCTCTGACGAAGAGGTCATTGCGTTTGATGCCGATATCGACAACATCGATATCGAAGAAGATGATGCCAGTGAGAGCGAGGAAGCCCTCACTGAAGAAAAGGTTGATGTTGCTGTAGTGCACTCACAGCGCACTGAAGCTAACGAGTCATAAGATGAGTTCATACTGGCTCGTGAAACGGTAGTCCGTTTGTGCAAGACTCCATCGCCGAAGCGGTGGATAAGCAAAAACAAAACGCTGACAAGAATGGAAGGGCAAACACTCTTTTATTTAATTATGGTGACTTAGTCCTACTGTCTACGGTTAATCTACCAAAGCATGCAGTGACTAGCTTGGGTAGCAGTAAACTCCTACCCAAGTACATCGGCCCATTTCGTGTATTGCACCGCCTAGGCAACGCACACACGATCGAGTTGCCACGTAAGATGCGAACGCATCCCACGTTTTACGTTGGTCGGCTTAAGCCGTATCATCAGTACGCTGCTTCTTCCGATGAAGAACGCCCTTGCGCTCAAGCATCTTGCAGAGAGCCTTGTGCTCCCGATGGTGGGCATCGACAAGGGTCTGAGTAGCAGTTATCTCATCCCGAGACCGATCAACAATCCCACGAGCTACCCTTAGCTCGTCACGAAGAGACATCAGAGCTCTCTCTTTCTCAAGCTGAGCAAAAGCATACTCATCTCGATGCTTCAAGACATTGTCCGCCAGTTGGAGACGCCTGTCCCGCTCATGTTCGAGATCGCCGCGTAACCCTTGCGCTACGCGATCAACGATGCTCTCGGGAACACACGTATCCCCACGATTGTGTGGAGAGAGTCTTCCCTCCTCCTCCACCTCCATTAGAGGACTCTCGCGGTGGCCAGCGCTATCTGGTTGAGCAGATGTTGAACCACCGCGACGTGAACGGACGTCGGACGAGTCACCTCGTCCGGTGGCGCGGCTATCCCCCGTCCTGGGATACTTGGGAGCCCCGCTCCCAACTGATGGTTGACGTACTGGGTCTGGTTAAGCAGTACGACGCAGCGCATCCTGTGCCGCAGAAGGACCGCTGGAGAAAGTCTTCCTGGCACGATCATAAAGGGATTTCAGGTTGTCAATCCCTTCGTACATCTCACTAGAGATACGTACGCGCCACCACGGGCTGGTAAGGAGGTAAGCCTCCTTAGGTGCTCGTGCAGAGTTGTTCACACAACATGGGCACGAGTCTCCCCATGAGAGGCAGGGTAATCCTTTCTCCCTTGACAGATGATGCAGCTTATAGCGTGCACCTGTCGGGGTTCGCTTTTCAAACTTATCACGAGCTTTGATAATTTTGTCGTTCCAAACGTCACGGCCTACATCGTCTAGGTTATGGATGTAAGCGTTCCACGCTTGAAGCAGTGAGGGACCATTACTTTTGTGATTCCCACTGTACCATCGATGCTTGAAGAAAGCATCGATGAAGAATTCATTCTCAGCGCGATAGTCTTTCGCACTGGGGTCAAGGTGATGGATCCTTGACGAATCAAATAATCGTGTTCGATAACGATCACTCGTCGTCGCCGACAAGCGATCCATGACTGACTTTGGAGGCAGCCATGGTTTTTTTTTCAGGAGCAAGACGCAATACACTGCGGTCCCGCTCTTCCTGCGACGTGCCGACAGAAGCACTGGCACCTCGTTGCGAAGTGGTGTCAATAGGAGAACCGACACCACTGTGAGCGCTCGTGTCTTGCGACCTCGAGCGCCTTTGCTTCGGCGATGGTTCATCTGATTTGTCAGATGAACCAAAGATGCTGCGACGCATAGCATCGTCCATGCCACGCTTGACAGGCGGCTTGGTTTCAACCGCCGTCGATACGGATCCGTCTTCCGTATCAGGAGAGTATGAGACACCGAGCTCATACTCTGTGAAGTCATGAGTGTATTCATGACGAGCGCCTGCATCACCAGGTGGCACAGGCTGAGTCGCTTCAGCAACCGATGAGACATCAGTTGCTGTGGTTTCTGCTTCGGCGTCCGCACAGAGACGTGTGGACGCGCTCTCGACAGCCTTGCTCGCGCATCGCATAGGCTTGTTAACTATGCGATGAAACTGGACTGTGGACTCTGACCAACAAGTGCAAACCCCGTCCCAAATAATTTGGGACGAGTATCCATTCAGTCAATCAGTCACTAAAGTGACTGATGGTTAAGGGGGGGGGGTGATGTAGTAGGGTGAATCGTTACATAACAATTTATAAGAAATTGTTAGTAGAACATAACTATCAGAGTTATATTCTCAGAAGATTGTCATAAGGACCAAAATATTCTGCATCACTTAAGAGTAGTTCCTAATTGGTTGATATAGGCCATTATATCAACCAACGAAGACGCGCCACAACACAACAGACGCACGCAATGAGTGGTGAGCAGAAAGTTTATACGCACATTTGTATTTAGGCATAGTTAGATGAGGATAAAAAGTAGTTTAATAACAGACATAACTATGATAAATATAGTTCTACTTTTTATTTAAACTAAGTGCTTGCTTCTTCTTACCGTCTTCCTCTGCACGTACCAGTGTATGTGAAGTTCCGAGGCACCGCCTTATTCTGTCATCAGAATAAGTAGCTTGTACTGTTACCAGTACAAGCTTCAGGGTGCCGCGTTACAGATGATGCCTCGCGTCGTAGCATCTTTGGTTCATCCGACTAATTAGATGAACCATCGCCGAAGCGAAGGCGCTCGAGGTCGCAAGACTCGAGCGCTCACAGTGGTGTCGGTTCTCCTATTGACACCACTTCGCAACGAGGTGCCAGTGCTTCTGTCGGCACGTCGCAGGAAGAGCGGGACCGCAGTGTATTGCGTCTCGCTCCCGAAAAAAAAACCATGGCTGCCTCCAAAGTCAGTCATGGATCGCTTGTCGGCGACGATGAGTGATCGTTATCGAACACGATTATTCGATTCGTCAAGGATCCATCACCTTGACCCCAGTGCGAAAGACTATCGCGCTGAGAATGAATTCTTCATCGATGCTTTCTTTAAGCATCGATGGTACAGTGGGAATCACAAACGTAATGGTCCCTCACTGCTTCAAGCGTGGAACGCTTACATCCATAACCTAGACGATGTAGGCCGTGACGTTTGGAACGACAAACTCATCATAGCTCGTGATAATTTTGAAAAGTGAACCCCGACAGGTGCACGCTATAAGCTGCATCATCTGTCAAGGGAGAAAGGATTACCCTGTCTTTCCTGGGGAGACCCGTGCCCTTGTTGTTTAAACAACTCAGCGCGCGCACCTAAGGAGGCTTACCTCCTTACTAGCCCGTGGTGGCACGTACGTATCTCTAGTGAGATGTACGAAGGGATTGACAACCTGAAATCCCTTTATGATCGTGCCGGGAAGACTTTCTCCAGCGGTCATTCTGCGGCACAGGATGTGCCGCATCGTACTGCTCGACCAGACCCAGTACGTCAACCATCAGTTGGGAGCGGGGCTCCCAAGTATCCCAGGACGGGGGATAGCCGCGCCACCGGACGAGGCGACTCGTCCGACGTCCGTTCACGTCGTGGTGGTTCAACAGCTGCTCAACCAGATAGCGCTGGCCACCGCGAGAGTCCTCTAATGGAGGTGGAGGAGGAGGGAAGACTCTCTCCACACAATCGTGGGGATACGTGTGTTCCCGAGAGCATCGTTGATCGCGTAGCGCAAGGGTTACGCGGCGATCTCGAACATGAGCGGGACAGGCGTCTCCAACTGGCGGACAATGTCTTGAAGCATCGAGATGAGTATGCTTTTGCTCAGCTTGAGAAAGAGAGAGCTCTGATGTCTCTTCGTGACGAGCTAAGGGTAGCTCGTGGGATTGTTGATCGGTCTCGGGATGAGATAACTGCTACTCAGACCCTTGTCGATGCCCACCATCGGGAGCACAAGGCTCTCTGCAAGATGCTTGAGCGCGAGGGCGTTCTTCATCGGAAGAGGCAGCGTACTGATGATACGGCTTAAGCCGACCAACGTAAAACGTGGGATGCGTTCGCATCTTACGTGGCAACTCGATCGTGTGTGCGTTGCCTAGGCGGTGCAATACACGAAATGGGCCGATGTACTTGGGTAGGAGTTTACTACTACCCAAGTTAGTCACTGCATGCTTTGGTAGATTAACCGTAGACAGTAGGACTAAGTCACCATAATTAAATAAAAGAGTGTTTGCCCTTCCATTCTTGTCAGCGTTTTGTTTTTGCTTATCCACCGCTTCGGCGATGGAGTCTTGCACAAACGGACTACCGTTTCACGAGCCAGTATGAACTCATCTTATGACTCGTTAGCTTCAGTGCGCTGTGAGTGCACTACAGCAACATCAACCTTTTCTTCAGTGAGGGCTTCCTCGCTCTCACTGGCATCATCTTCTTCGATATCGATGTTGTCGATATCGGCATCAAACGCAATGACCTCTTCTTCAGAGCGTGATGAGCGTGAACCTAATCGGTTTTTGCTCGTGCGAGTCCCTCCCCCCCTTAAACCAGAGTTACACTCTAGTAAGGTGGGTACACGCGGATGGCGTAAGCCATTCACGTAAAACGGTGTATGTGTCGTGGACGCATGCACCGAGTTGGTAATGGCAAACTCTACCATTGGCAAGAACTCACTCCAACTCTTAAAGGATAGTACGTATCCTCAAAGTATCTCTTCGAGGACACGATTGGTACGTTCCGTCTGACCATCTGACTCTGGATGATCAAATGTAGACATCTTCAAGCGCGTTCCGAGTGATTTGAACACGGAACGCCAGAAATCAGCAGTGAATCGTGGATCTCTGTCTGATACGAGTTCACAGGGCAACCCATGAAGTCGGAAGATGGTGTCGATAAAGACACAAGCACAGCCACTTGCCGTGATTGACTCTGGTACAGCCACAAGATGTACCATTTTGCTGAATCTGTCAACAAATACGAGAATACCCGTATTCCCGAGTGCGTCTTTGGGTAACCAGAAGACAATATCCATTGAGATGGATTCCCAGCACTCTGCCGGAACCGGTAGAGGCTGTAAAGGTGCACGCAGTGAAGGACTTGACTTCACTCGTTGACAGACTTCGCATGCGCGAACATACTTGCGCACAAACTGATACTGGCGGGGCCAGTAAAAGTCTCGACTCACCGTGAGATATGTTTTCTCCCGGCCACGATGTCCTCCTATAGGAGCATCGTGATACTCGAACATGATCCGCAAACGCAGATCAGTATTATCTGGAATGACAACACGTGGTGTGTCACCAGAAACGGCTTTATAATACAGTAAACCGTTGCGAGTAGTGTATCGATCTGATGCAGATCAATACGCAGACGATAATCGTTTCAACGATTCTCGAGATGGTTGTGAGAGATATGTCAACAGCTTCACAATCTCACCATCTTAGGCATACGCCCGCCTCACATCATCATGTAACGTTGAAGAAGGTACTGAGGACGTCATAACCGCAACAGTGGCTGTCTCACTGTTGGGTTTCACGACTAATTCAAAGTCGGGCCGACGTGAGAGTGCATCAGCGACGACATTAAGTCGTCCTGGTTTGTACTCTACCGTAAAGTTGTATTCTGCAAAGAATGAAAACCACCGCGCCATTCGTTGTGAAAGGTGCGGGCTGTTTATTGCCGTGCGTAATGACGCATGGTCAGTGTAAACAATGAAGGGTCTATCTCCTAATAGATAGACTCTGAACTTCGCGAGTGCATACTTCGTGGCAAGCCGTTTCTTGTCATGCACTGGATAGTTCCGCTCAGCTAGTTGCAGCTGAAGCGACTGATAGCAGACGACGCGTTCAACGCCTTCAAGATCGTACTGCATTAATGCACAGCCGATTGCGAAATCGCTGGCATCACAGAACACATGAAATGGCCTGTCCTGATCGGCAATTTCTAGGACTGGGGATTGTATCAAGCTCTGCTTGATACCATCAAAGGAGCGCTGACATTCAGCATTCCATAACCACCTCTCGTTCTTTTTCAACAAACGAGAGAGGTGTACAGTCATCTCGGCGTAATTGCGTAAATACTTATGCAAATACGCCGCTAGCCCGAGGCATTTTCGAAAATCTTTGACATCAACTGGCACAGGCTAGTCGGTGATCGCCTTGATCTTTTCGGGATCAGAACGTACACCGTTCTTACCAACGATGCACCCAAGAAGTGGTATTTCGCTCGCTGCAAATATACACTTCTTGAGGTTTGCATACAATTGATGCTTTCGTATGATTGTAAGAACCTGTCGGACGTGGTACCTGTGGACCTCAACGTCCGACTTTCCATCCATAGCTCGACTATGCATGAAGACGTCATCGAAATAACTCGGTGCGAATTCTCGTACTGGTCTTAACAGATGTGATACACATCTGTTGAACGTGGCAGGAGCATTACTAAGCCCTTGTGGCATTACTAGCCATTCCCAGAGCATGCCGCTAGGCGGGATCACTGCGGTATAGGGTATGTCCCGTTTTCGCATAAGGATTTGATAGAAGCCATCCATCAAATCCATGGACGAAAAGATGGTACTCTTTGACATACCATCTATGATTACGTCCCTCCTTGGTATCGGCGTCTGAGCCGGTACCGTTGCAGCATTCAACTTGTTAAATGCATGCACTATCCGCCACCCTCCTGTTGCTTTTCGCACACAGAAGGTCGGAGAGCTATGTGGAGAAGTTGATTCCCTCACATGACCAGCAGCTAAACGATCGGCAAAGAACTTGTCGATCGCAAGTACTTGTTCACGAGGCAGTGGCCACTGCTTCATGACACAGTACTTCGAGCCTGGTTTTTTTTTGGGGATTTAAGCTCGACCTCGTGTTGAGTACCTTTATCCTTCTGTAGCTCGCACGGAACAGTTTCAGGGAATACATCCTTGAATTCAACCAAATCTTCATAGGGAGGATTTGTCTTGAGCGATTCCCACGATTGGGAGTCATATCACTCATCTCGTGTCTTTTCATCTAGGACACTCTCGTCCATCGATGAACTACTGAGAACTCTCTCGTTCTCAGTAAACATTGTTGCTGACCTTATGTCGGTTACACACTCGTCGTCAGCGACGAGTACGCAGATCTGCTTGACTTTGCCACTATGCAGATCACGCAAGAACCTTTTATGTTCGAGCGTTGGCAAATGAGTGATCTCCGAAGTCAACTTCGGAGGCGCAATCAGATCAAGTGTATAAGCGCCTACACTTGATCCATCATTGACTAGGACATTCAATGTCTCTGTCATTTCCTGGGGGCTTATTCCCTCAGACCTCGAAGGACTTATCTCTTCGGCTTCCCGGGGACTTATTCCCTCGGGTTTTAGGGAACTTATTTCCACCGTGTTTGAAATATCGGGACTTATTCCCTTTATTTCCTATAGCTGTGGTTGCGCAACCACAGCGATGTCCTCTACGAAAGACCCTCCAGTCGATCTAGGATTATCGTTTCGCTTACCCTGAGCGATCGATGGTCTCTTCTAGATGTTCCCCACTAGGGATACATCTTTGTCCCGGTCCACTCGACTTATTCATGTGGTGGACCTTCGGCGCAGCCTGTGTTTCCTCACAGCCGCCGGAACTTTGCTCCGAAGTGTAACCGTTTGGTACACTAAGGTTTTGTGCAGTCGTACTAACGACCGTACCACAAGTGCGGCCATCGCACTCACTGGTCGTACATCCACACGCTTGTGGACGCTCCAAAACGTTCATCAGATAGCCATCTGATGAACAAGCGGCAGGCATCGTTACTGTTCGATGTTGCCAGTTTACCCGTGGTTCGTACCTTCTGAGCCACGGTATTCCAAGGATGACATCAAATTTGTCATCCAAATCCAATACGATAAAGTCATCGTCATATTGGGTATCTTCTAGCGTATAGTGGATCTTCACTATACGCTTCATGACGGTTACGGATGCGCCTGTCGCAAGACGTACCGTCATCCTCGTAGGAGGTGTGTCACATTCACTGAACTTAAAGTGACCATCTTCTAGCGATTGGCGTCGCACAAAATTGTTGGACGCCCCACAATCGACTAGAGCTCGAAGGGACAACTTATTCGTCACTTCGAGTTTCAAGGTAATGAGTGAGATCTCATTACCTAGAGCAGCACGCAAAACGTTTGTGTGTTGGGAGCAACCTTCATCAAGAGGCCCACAAATTCTCTTGACGTTGCTGGACCAGTAGGGTGCCCCGCACCTACTGATCCTGTCCGTTTTTTGACGGTCCATCCCGTTGTTGCGTCTTTGCACCAAAAGCAGACCCGCGTCCCTGCCCCTTTCTCATGGGTGGACGGTCATTACGCCCAGTGTTGCGAGACACTGGACAAAGGGCACTACACTCGTAAGCGTAGTGTCCTGTCTTTTGACATCTATTGTATTTCTGCAACCTTTTGTAGTCTGTAGAGCGAGCCTTCTCGCTCTCTACATAACAGAGTTCCATCGGCTCTGGACCTCCGCTGTCATATCGTCTCGGTTGACGATATGATGTCGAGCTGGCGCGAGCCTGTCTCAGACTGAAGTCTTCCTGTTCCGCAATGGAAATGGATTGTTCTAGTGAATCTAGTTCAAGTCGGAACAGGTGAGTCTTGACGGGACCATCCGCAAGACCCTGCATGAACACCGAAACCAACGTGTGTTCATCAACCGGGTTGGAACTTATACAACTCGTGAGATGTCGTATATGTTGCGCGTAAGCGTGCACATCACGCTTACCCTGTTTGAGCTTCAAGAGTTCGGTTCGAGCTCTGAACTCAGCTCTAGGCGGTTCAAACGTTTGTCTGAGCCGTGACTTGAAGACTTCCAACGACCCAAACGCATGTGGGTCGTGCAACTTGAGCCCCAGTGCCCAAGTCTTGGCACGTCCTGGCAGATTTGACCAGGAAAATGCAACTTGCGTATCCCCGTCGTCGATGCAACTCGCCCTTATGGCGTCATCTAATTCGACGAACCATCTCAAGAGGGAGTCCTCTTCGACTCCCCTATACTTGGAGATG